GAGGTAATATGCCTGTGTGTACCAGTTGCTGGGGAATATCAGCGGGAGGGTGCTGTTACACTCAGGTCCTGCTTGTGGGAAGCCATGGACAGCTGGACCTTTGGTCTGATCCATCACAGTTCTTCTTGTGTGCATAAGTAGTGTTCCAAGCAATGAGACTTTCAGAAATAAGTGAACTGCTGGTCAGTGTTGCTGAACAAGCAGCTAATGTCTGAGTATTCTGCATATTAAATCTTTTCTTACTGTTTCAGAAAACAAAGTAACAGACACTGAAGCTATATAGTAAGTATCTCTAATGGGAAGTAGATGAGATGTGGGCCCCATGATCTACTATGCTGGATAATATTAGTATTTATGTACTGCATGTTTTGTTTCTGCTAAAAACAATTTTTTGTTTTAAACAAAATTTTTAAAACAATTTTAAAGACCCACAACACAGGGCTATTATAAATATTAAAGCAATTGTATAATTTGAAGCTAAATTAAAGAGCTATTGCCGCCACACTTGTTCTGAAAGCCAAGAAGGTAGGGACCAATTTCAGCTTTTGTAATTGTACGTTTCACAATTTGAGAGCAACACGAGAGAAATGGCTTTCTTGTATTCCTTGCAAATCAGCCCTATGTGTAACAGTTCAGAGCTGTTCAGAAGAAGAACTTCTTCTTCTGTCGCTCTTAATAACTGGACAGGTTCATCACAGGACAGGCAGTCCATTAGATAAACTCACAGAGTTTAGTATCCTTGCTATAAATAAGTTATATAGGAGCTTCTTGAGCAGGTGTGTTCCTCTTTTGCTTCCTGCAGTGGGTTCATCTTTAATTCCTGACAACTGAAAACAGGATGAGCACCTTCTCACTGTACCACTGGGAATCAGATAGCAATTGTTCCCTTACTGGGAAACTTTAAAACATTGCTTGCCGGTCTAGAATTAAAATAAAAGTAGCTCTGTTCACTGAACAGAAGAGTTCGTGGGTGAGATTTGGCTCTTTGCAAGCAGAAGGTGGGTGTCTCACAATCAGAAGGGTCAGACAAGACTCATGACCAACTTTTCCAAACATTCCTGGGAACCCCTCTATAGTTTATATGTGAAAGTTACACTGGTGTCTGACCTTTTATACATTAGATGTTTTTCAGCCACCTTGCTTCCTTGAGCTGAGAAATGAAATGTTAGAAATGGAAAACAATTTGCTCTTAAGATTTTTTCTCATTCCTTAACTAAAATATAGCTCCCCCTCTCCCATATCAGTTCTTCTATTAATAGGTCCCTCTATAATCCTCCACCGGGATTCTGCTTGTTTCAGGAGTATCAAAAGTCCTGCTTACAATAGCAACTTTGATGCCCACCTATCTCTTCTCATACTAGCTTGCTATAAAATTATTACTGTAAGCATGCAGTTGACTTTGTAATCTAAATGCATCCATTTTGAAGTGAAAGAAAGAGGAACATTATTTTTTAAAAAGCTTGTGCCTATATACAATCCAGATGCTTGTCTTCATTTTTTTTTCTTCTTATAGGAACCCAAAACGGCCAGAATTCTGCAAACTGGATTAAAAAACAGGGGAGACCTCACTAGCAAGAGCTATGGACCTTTCCCCATTTGTCTTGTTCAAGAGGTGTTCTCCAAATAGCCATAATCCCCTCTCTTTGACAGGATTGTTAAGAGGCCCACTTGTCTTTCCTTCATAGCACTTGAAATTTTAACGCAAGATGAGTGACATGTTAGATAAGTTTCTCAGGACTGCAATCCTTTGTAGGCCACTTGCAACAAGGATAGGACTCAGATTATCAATGGTAGAAATGATGGCTATATAATCTAAGGTTATTGAACCACCTTAAAAATACTAGCCTTGAAGAACTTGTTCTAAATTATAACCAAAAGGAGAATCTCGCTGTTACAAAATTTGATGAGCAAAGCCAGTCACAACTGTAAAATATTCCTATGTGCAAACACAGTGATTTCAAAAAGAAAAGTTTTTGAAAAGAAAAGTTTTTCCCCGTGTACCTCCTTTTGCAAGATCATTAATGAAAGACATTTTTGTCAGACAGCTCTCCTCAGTGCCTTAGTTTCGCTAACAAATAATTAGCATTTCAAAAGTTTATTTAGTGAAAAAGCAGTGACCATCTATATCCTTATTCTAAAAACAGTTCAAATAGGTGTAGTTGCACAGCCTCTGGACATGCTGTTTTACAGAACTGACAGGACACCATGCTTTGATAAGTAGAAATGTTTAAAAACCTTCTAAATTGCCTCTACATCCCTCAAGGATAAAGCATTTATTTTGCCTCTTTAAAGAAAGAATTGTGATATTGTAAAGAGGACAGGTCATCAGCCTTTTTCCATCCATCTTCCCAAGTGCTGGTTTGCTGTAGCACCTAAGGATGGCCAGCCATTCAAGAAGCCTTAATATTTCCTAGCTTTTAAGAGTATGTATGGGTAGCTTAAATATAAGTTTATGTTAATATACATACTGTATATTTTATAAATTAATGCAACCAGAGTGTGTTATACTTTTAAAGTACTGTTCCATAAAAAGTGGCGGGGCTCTAGCAGGCCATTTGGCTATTGCAGGAAAGCAGACCAGTTTCCTGGCCCACGAATCCTGGCAGACTTTTAGACTTGGAAATAAATTTGAGGGGAACATGTTGGAAAGGGAATACAATTCCCAGCAGAAAAATCAGCAACCCTTTCATCCAAAACAGCACAGCACAGCACAGTTCCAATTATCCCTATTCCTAAAGGCTACCAAGAAATGTTTAGGCTCATCCCTAGGTGCTAGTTGCAGCTGTGAAGACTTTTTTTGTGGGAGGAGCTGCCCCCCCCCCAAACAAATTCTGGTGGAGTACACATTTCTCACAAATAGTGAGAACAATTCAAAGAAACAACTCAAAGAAAAAGTATTCATGGGATGCAGGGGTGGGGACAGCGGGGACTAATATAGCCTTCTCACATTCTCTCCATTACTTCTTGCAACAGACATCCCCATTGCAGCATCCACTGGGGCCTTCAACAGCTCCCATGAAGCACTTCATTCCCTGACCTTCAAAAAATTATTTTTAATAAAAATGTTGGAAAAAATAGAATGTCAGGTTCTCCTTCTTGTTCCTGCACCGGCTGCAGATCAGCTGTTGGTGAAAAGGCAAGGAAGGAAAGAGTTGCTTTTTGGGCCCTACCTCACCTGCTCCCACACAACTCTTTTCCCTTTGCTCTCTTCCATAATCTCCTTCCTCATACTTTTCTCTCCTCCTCATTCCTATCTGCTGCTTTGTTCTTGCTCACTCTGCTAGCCTGTTCTTTTTCCTCCTCCTCCCTCTTAAGCTCACTTTTGAGCAGCCAGGCCTCCAATGGCAGCCACTGTGTGACTGACCCATCCTCCATAGAAGCTACTTTGTGGTGATGCCACAAGACAGATTCTCATATGTGCTCACAGTTTGCAAAAAGTTGGGGACCCCTAACTTACAGTACTCAACTGAGCACGCTGTAATCTGGCCATTACAGTACTTAACTGATAACCCTGACATCTGGCTATTATGGCAAGAAATGCAGACTGGAGTTCTTAATTGAGGGAGACACCTTAAAGAGCAGGATTATAAAAAGCAGGATTCTTTGAAAAGATGGCTCAGCTTACATGGACTAACAGGAGGGAACAGGCAGGCTATAAGGTATCATAGCCTTCATTAGATACAGATTCACATGACTATGTTTTAAGCTGTTCTGGCATTTTAAATGCAGAATTCCTTCAGAGGCTAATTATCTTTGGCTAACAGCCCCCTCCAATAAACCTAAGCAGTAGAAGATTCTGTATATTTATATGCAATTAGTAAGTAGTGATAGCTGGAAAGTCCTTCCATTTCTGATGTTCACACCTTACATGCCACTACTTCCATAACCAAAATTGCATAATCCCACATACATTAGAGGAGCCAGAAGTCTTAGCAAGCTCCTCAAAGTCTGCAAAAAATCCTAAAGCCTGCGGGGAGGGATTTTCCCAAAAACAACCCAGTGGACTGAGCCTGCTCAGTGCCCACAAAATGTTACCTCTGGGCATAGACTTGGTGGTGGTGATTCTAAGCACTTAAATTCAGTTATTCCAGTTTGATTGGTCAGGGGCATGGCAAGCTCATCTCATCATTATCAATACAACTTCCATAGTACAAAAAAGGTGGTGGGGCATTTACAGTATCAGCAAAATACTATGTTTTTCCAAGCCCAGTGTAAGCGTCTTTAACGTAGCTGTAGCCGACAAAGGCAGACCGAGATCTTCATAGCCAGTTTCCTGTCTGTTGAACAGTGATACTGGATTTTCCCCCCAGCACTGTCTAAGGTAGAACAGAGTCTGTATCAAGCCCATATTCTATAGCAAGATCTAGGCATATGTAATGCAGCAATAAACCAAAAAAATATTCTGTCAAAGTTATTTTGTTTTGCATTTTAGATTAAAATTACAATTTATTTAAAAGCCAGTCTGCTTTATTTAAAATATGTGAAGATTGCTGGAGTTGGCTACAAGAATCCTGTTATTTTAACCCCAAGTTTAACCACAACACAATGGATCTGCCTGCACATCAGAGGTGATTGCTGGTTAGGAACTTTGCTTGGTCCCACATTTCCTTTCTCATAAAGCCTTGCATAGTCTGTATTTCACAAAACCTTTCCACTCTAAAAGCACCATTTGATTTGGCCTTCCCCTCAGTGGAGATTTTACTCTGCAACCTGCACCTTGAAGGGAAATGTCATGATCCTGACAATAGCAGTGCCTGGGGGGGGGGAGGGGGGGAGGTCACAACATTTTGAGGAATAAATTAGAGTGATTCCCCAGTACACAACAACGTGATTTCACAAGAGTATAGGAACACCAGCCTGCAACAGGTGTTATTACCATGTACCCAGTTCAGTTTTGAAAAGGTTTAAAGCCACTCATTTGATCTTTGAGAAATTGAACTACAATTTACTACCGTAAATATTTTAATTATGCATTTATGTTATTAAAAAACATCCTTAAAATGTAAATAAATTCCTACCTCCAGTGTACCTATGGAAACCTAAATGTACAGGAAACGAAGGAAAAAGAAACAAAATAGGCAACAAATGTTTTTTGGTTTCATTATTTTTATATAGCAACCAGGTTCACCAAAACTAGGTATTAACTGCTAACATGGATGTCTCTTGGAACCAATACTGACCACCTCCCACTCTCCATCTGTTTTACAAATAATACATTTCTGTTCCTCTGCAAAGCAGAATAGAGAATGAGTACATCCAACAGTAACAAGCATGAAGGGGGCAACCCTCTGGCTACCTGCCATATGGGGGGAGGCAATGCAGGATTCTTTGGAGTCCAAGAACCAAGGTCCTACAACTTCAGTGCTCCAACCCCAGCAGCCAAGTCCCAATGCTGTCTCCATCAAATCAACTGCCTCTGAGAGCAGAAATGTACTTCAGAAAGAGGCAAAATGGGAGCTGTGTGGGGAGGAGGCTGGAATTGTCTACCTATGCTGATTCCTACTGGCACTCCAGCTTCTTTCCTGCCCAATTCCAGGCATTTTTTCTAAATGACCAAAAATAGTCCTCTAACTCAAATGCACAGGCACTACAGCAGCTGTGATTGCCACCACTGCTCCTTTCTGCAGCCATGGATACACATAAGTGGTTGTGTGCATCTAAGGCAGGGGGATAACAGGATAGGTCCCAGGTCTGTTTAACCGCAAGTTGCTATTCTTCATCAGATTCTTCTTCATCACTCTCCACATCGGATAGTTCACTTTTCATTACCTCCTCCTCTTTCTGCCTCCGCTCTTCTTCACGGGCCAGCAATTTCTTAAAGATCGTATACTCCTCAACTGAAGAGCAGGCTATTGTAGCCACAAAGTCACTTTCAGAGGCTCTGATGATGCCTTTCAGTTTGGGATTGACAACCTGAGTTTGTCCTTTCTTGTCAGGTGTTTGATAGAGTCCCAAGCGCTCCAAGAAAATGAATCTGTTCTTTATCTCAACCAGCGGAGCTTGGAAGTAACCAGCTTTCACAATTTCTTTGTGTTTCACTCCCATCCTGAAATAGGCAAACTGAGAAAGAACAGCTCTAAATACATGGACTATTCAGTGGAACTACTTTTCATAAGTTATTATCACTCTATGCCAAGGACAGTGTTCTGTGCAAATTTAGGCATACTCAGGCCTAAATTTTATCACTGTGGTAAAATATCCTAAATGCAATACTGAATTGTGAACCAAGAATTGTAAGTGCATTATTTGTCTGAATTACACTTCAGAACTTTTTCTTATTGTTCTCACTACTATTATTTTGCCTAACGAAATTAAAGTCAAATCAAGCAGGTCACTAGCTCACACAACACTAGGACTATTGGATTTGGAAACCATTTCCTTCCTAAAGCCAGGAAAATATCTGAAGTATTGAACCAAAAGAGAAACAGCTGTGTAATTGTGGTGGAGGTGTGGTAGCCATTCAAAGAAATGTGTTACTTTGAAAAGCTCTGAATGTTACAAAGTTGTTACAACATACAGGATGCACCAATGGAAGCTTTAGTGGTTTTGGAATATCTGATTGGGAGCAGGTGGGCAGAGGATGTAGCTAAGGATTAGTAAAATCTAAACATCCATACATGTTTCACTTGAAAAAAAGATGGGAAACTACAGTCTCTATTACAATACATGCAAAGGCAGAACTGTTAGTTGATAGAGGAAAGTTCAACAGTACAATCAGCAGAATCCATGTAACAAACTCAAACAACTAGAAAATGTAATGGGAAGGATAAAGCCAAGTTTAGTCTAACTATTCCATATTCTGTCAGCATTTGGAGAAGGGGAAAATATTTTTTAAAAGAAGTACAGTCATGTTCTGCAGAAACAGAAGTTATATAGAACTTCCTGTTAAAACACTCTTTTCTTCTATGCAAGCTCTGAGAGTGCATTTTACTCAAGTACTGGAACCATGAGCTTAGCATTGCCAGCTAATACAGAAGCGTGCAGCATGCTATATGGAAACTAACTATAGTCATATGTATTAGCAAAAAACCATTCTAAAAATGCAGCATACATTACCTGGAATTTGTATTCCACATCGTTTAGCTCCTCCAGCAGGATGTTTGGGCATGTTTGTAGAAGTTTTGATACTTGCTGAACTGTGAAGAGGCATTTTTCTCTGAGGAGATGCTCTACAACTGTAAATCTCTTTTGTGGCAATGTGAAGACATATGGAAAATAAACTGCCACATGGTTCAGACTCACTGTCAAAGAGAACATGCATGTAAGAATGGGGCATGTTTTTCCTCCTACAGAAAAAATCACAGGGCTGAGGTAGTCTGTTCATTGAGAATGATGTCCCTTTCCCTATGGGAAAGTTTGCACCTTATTCAAGAGGTAGTAACTTTCCCAAGATGTTCCTTGTGATGTCTGAGCAGATCTGTTGAGGAATATTATCTATTGCTAATTGGAGCACCTTATAAGAAGGCACCCTGATTTGTCATTTCATGCAGTACACTTTCACAGACTATTTACTTAATGAATTTATACCTTGCCCTTCAATGTAAAACATTTCCAGGGTGGCTAATGTATGTATTGTTCCTTATTTACACACAGACATTTGTGTATTCATGTGTAAAATACACAGAAAGAAACACAGGAATAAAGGGAATACCAAGGAGCAAATAAAAAAGCAGCAAAAGTGTATCCTTTTCCTTATAAACTTGAACTGCTTTGAAAATGCAGCTTGCATGACAAAAGGGACATTCTTCTAACACAAAACAAATTTGGAGCCACAAAAGAGGAAAGACACTGAATTTCCCCCATCCATTCCGACAGAGATTTTACTGGGCAAGTATTTAAAAATCTAATTAGGATGCAGTCCTATTATTTGTGCCCTCAATGCTTGTAAGCCTCCAAATTCAGAAGCCTATTGAGCATCCAATGCAGAACAGGAGGTGCAGCAGTGATGTTCTCTGCCTCCCCACACGGCCATCTTCAGCCATGGAGAAAGAAGCTAGAACACCATCAAGACAGGAACACTCCCCTTTAGCTCATCCTTGGAGAGACAGTTACTGTGGTTCTTTGTTTCCCAGTCATGAAGTAGCAGGAAGGGGAATGAGAGTATGGACTGCCAGCTCTTGACATCAGAACTGGGAATCCAAATTAACATATACCCCACTTCCAGCTGCTGCTGCTGTGCCATAAGAACTGTTTAATTTGTAGAAACAGAGGAAGCACTCACAGAGGGGCAGATATGTAATCTTGCATTTCACCTCAAATGCTGTGGGCCAAATTATCAAAGCAGAATCTAAACTGCTTGCTATATTACATGCACAACTTAATATAGACCCCTTCCTAAATATCAATTTTAATATAATGTATTCCATTAACATCTACCAGAAAATGCTCACAAAATACAAGCAAATGGGTCTCAAAAATATGGTATGGTTCACAAAACACAATTCAGTAGATAGATTCACCCAATTTACATGTAATTTCTGGGTTTTGTAAAACAGAAATTGCCATTACTAAGTGGGAATGCAATCCTAGATTGTTAACAGTGATGTCAAAGCTAGGAAATCTGGGTTATTTAAGGGTTAAACAATGCAAAGTTAACTAACCAATCACCCATGATTTGTTGTTGGTTAACTCTGGATTCTTTAACTGCTAAACAACACAAAATGAGGGTTTAAACATCATAACTGCAGAAATGATGACTGTAAGATGGTAGACCCACTTGGCCATGGCAATCCTTGAATAAAAACCAAACCAAAACAGGAATTGTCATTATGTGATTTCATAGCTCAAAAATAGTGCTACCTTCCTGAAAGCCAAATCTTCTCAGAAGATCTGCACGATCCCTCAGATGTTTTACTGATAGTCTTAGCAGTTCTGGATTCTTCCGTAGTGCCTTCAGCATGCTGTCTGGACTTAAGCCCAAGAGAAGGAGCTCTGAAACTACAGTCAACATGGTTGGAGGTGGCAGTTTGGGTTGCAGGTTGAACAAAAGCATTATCTGATCAGAGCTGAGCCCCATGTCCAAGAATGGTTTTGCTGCCTCCCCTAGCTTTAAGTGGCCCACTCCTGCTTGCTTTTCCTGCTCTACAGGAGGAGTAGTGAAAGTCTCCAGGAGCACTTGAGTACTTTCATTGCTGTCTGTTTTGGTGCTAGAAATGGGCAAGCTTGTTCCGCTTTGTTCAGGAGAATTTGTACTACTCAATCTACGGCCCAGTTGCTGAAGAGAGGATAGAAAGACAACAGGTAATGTTTTCCAAGAAGTTGACTGGATAAAGTGACAGGTGAGCGGTGAAAAACTGGGTCTCCAAAAGACCTACGGCAACAGACAAAAAAACTGTGTTATAAAGAGAAAATCTGACACAGGAACTAGCAGATTAAACAGGTCTGCTGGTCTACAGCCATAAGAAAATTGGTAGAGACTGGTCCTGCAAAAGTAAAACCGCCTTACTCCAAATAGCTATCTTCCTAAAACTGGTAGCATGACACAATTAAAAATACTAAAGACAACCCCAGGCCTAACATATCACTGGTGATGTCATGTATATTGAAGAAGAGGTATCTTACAATAGCTCCTCTTTAAGTGGGTTGAATTACGATAAAAATATGTGAACAACCACCACACTGGTTTCAATATTTCCAATATTATAATTACACAGAAAGGAAAATATATCAAGGACTTCAGAGAACAACTGTAAGCTTTTACAACAAATTATTCATAAAGGAATCTGATAAAAAGGATTATTAGTTTGAATATATAATACATTATTGACTAAAGAAGATTTAAAGGGAAGCTATTTTAGGAATACATAGAAAAGACTGAAAATGGGGTATCACATCAAAAACTAGGGTAATTTTATTTAAAAATTTTCATAAAAGTTTTATCATAAATATTAGAGAGAACTACTGTAAGATTACACAGAGTATTACATACAGTACTTTACTTCTAAATGGTGATTAAAGATTTATAGACAACAGAATAATGTTGGTGTTGTCAATTTTTACCATACAAAGTGGAGCTATCCTAGGTTTGTCCTAATGCTGAGAGACAAACAGTAAACATAATGAAATTAGGTTATAAGATATCATTAGACCAAATGATTGCGATACACAAAAGAAGTAGAATTATGTGAATATCAGGTGTGAGCTTATAATTTATAGCAGCCAAAATATTAAGCATCACCAATGGGGAAAAAATGAGATACCCACTGTTAGATGCTGGTTAGTTGGTACACAAAAGAATGGTAAATTAACCAGAATACATATATAAAAGAATTAGGAAGTAGTGAGGGGACTTCCCTCCCAATAACTAGAAATATTTTCCAAGATTTTGACTCAGAAATACCATTGGCTAACGGTAACTATAAGAAATTGTAAATTATAGAGAGTAGGTGTATGGTTAAAATAAGATTATATTTATGTATTGAAAAGTTCTAGCATTTACCGTATATACTTTTAAAACATTATTTAGAATAACATACATTATCAATTGAAATATTTACCAATCTTGTAAAACGTTACTAATCAGATTTACTCAAATGGATTTTTGTTTGTTCTCTCACACACACAAGCAACATGAAGAACCACAACTGAAAAGTCTTGATTTCATTTTCACTTTTAACACAGAATAAAAATGCAGTTTTGCCATCACTCAGACATTAAGTAGTAATACTTAGGATACTGAGAACACATTTTATATAAATTTCTTGTTGCTGTTAGAACACACAAGATTTCCCTTTTGCGGTGTTCAGACAATGTACTTTCATCGTTTCTCAAAGCACAGCGGTACACTGGGCTTCTAAAAAGAGCAAACAACCTATGTCTGCTAGGAAACCCCACCAAAGTACAAGCTTCGAAGCATTTCTCGTCATCCCATGAAGCACAATACTGAACTACCATATAAAATTACTACAAGCATTCTGAACACGTAAAAGCAACGTGCACGCTAACACAGGGATGGGACGTGGACGGAAGGTGAAAAGGGCCCAAGGTCACGGACTCCGATTAGGGTTGCATGCAGCTGCTTCTGCGGGGCCAGCAAGGAGTAAAGCTGCAAGCGTAGGAAAGCAGAGCCGTGCCCGCCCACCAAAACAACGGGGCATAACAGAGGCTCACAGAACATAGCTCTTGGGTTCGGCCTCGCAGTTCACCCTGCTGCCCCCTATTCGCGCGCCATGAAAACAATTCGCTAGCCCACCCAGTCTACTTTTTCAGCGAGACGCGCAACCCACCTGCCTGCAAAGATATCCCATCTTCACCCTCGCGCCCCGTGCACTTCCTCCCCGCCGTGAGATAAAGGGACGGAAAAGGAAGGTGTTCGCGCACGTACTCTCCTCCTCAGAAACGGAAGCGGAAAGAAACGTTCCGCCGTGTGCCAAAGGGACCCGACTAATCTGCGTTTAGGAGTATGAACGTCCCGTTGGATGAAGGCTTCAAGTGCCAGGTGGGAAAGATTGTGGTAGAAGCTAACTGACTTTATAAAACGTTTGATTGCGTTCCTCCACATTTCTTCACTGATACTTTAAAAGGGTACCCTCACAAGGCTTTGTGTGCTCGTGTATTATAGTGGTATTTTTACAAGTATTCCAAATTCAAAATGTGCATTATTACACGCGTAACAGTGGGATTTGAACTTGGCCCTATTTCTTTTTTTAATATCCTTCATGTACGACAATGGAACCTATTGCCTAGGGAGATTATGGGCTCTCTTGTGCTAGAAGCATTCAAGATGCAACTGGATAGACATCTGAGTGGGATGGTATACCTTGGTGTCCTGTACTAACAGGGAGTCGGACCTGATTGCCTTCTTGACCATTCCAACTCTACTATGATAAGCCAATCTTGCCACCCAACTGTATAAGGAAATAGGAATAAAGGCTTCTACACTTGGGCAATATAATTAAGATCAGAGCTAAGATTTTCCATCTGCAGCTACCACCTCTGGTGCATGTGAATTGGCCCTGGACGCTTGCATATTAGACACTGGCTTTGGAGTATCAGCTCTTAGCTTAGCATTTGGCTTAAACAGAGCCAGTTTAAAAATCAGTGGCACTATGATTTAGTTGGCACATCCCAGCATCAAAAACTAATCCCAGTTAGCTAGGAAATTCTGAGGAGTAAATAAGGGCAAAATCCCATAGTCAGAAGCCCTGCAACTCTCAACACTCCCCATGACTGGCAAACACATGAACATGCATTGGATTGCATCTTAGAAGTACCAGCAAAACACAGCTGAGGTTTTTATTGTGCAATCTACTGGGACAGAGTAACCATATGTCAACTTCCATTTGTAGACCATGTTTCTCATTGCTTTCTCTTTTTTCTTAAGGGCAAATTAAAACATAGGTTTCCACAACTACAGCATATACAACTGGAGCCCATATGAAAAATAAAATAGTTATTATTGTCACTCTCTCAGCCTAGCCTGCATTAATGTCACTGTGAGGATAAAATGGTAATATAGTTGAAGAACCACAGGCTGCCCCGAAATACTTAAGATGAAATTAGAGTGCAATAAATCAAGCATTGACCTGGATTAAACTTACTATGAATTAAAAAATGAGCCATATTTTAAAAACACTGGGCATAGAAAGGCAAATTCTGTACTTGCCAATGAATTGTCGTTCTCAAGAAAAGGAGAGCTTGTGCTACAATATGCTTCTTCTCCAGGATACAGAATGCAATCTACTGATCTTATTTCTGGAAGCAAAAGGGCTGCTTTGCTTGGCCCCCAAATAACTTCCTGCTGGCAGACTTAGGCAGGGATGCTATTTGCAAAAAAAAAACCCAACAATGATTCTCTCCCACCATTTCTGCTTTTGAAGAGAGGGAGCACAGAGTAGAGAGATCTCTTTTCAGCTGCTTCTTTCTGGCACTCAGAGTAGCCTTGTGTAAAGGAAGAGAGAAGACTTTCACAGCACCATCTCTAAGCTTGAAGGGAACCAATATGGTACATATACTAATATAGAGGAAACAACTTTTCAAAAACAAATTGTAGCAGATAAAATCCATCAAGCAAAATACATCATTTTAAAGTACTTGCTTATTAAATTCAAAACAAAGCCCGAGTCATTACTTTCCTGCCATTTTTCCCTTTCTGGTCACATATTCCTGGAAATCTCCTATATGTGAACTACGTGCAATGCTTTTGCTTTGCAACCTTCTTTTTGTTTATGAGTTTTACTGGGTGGCTTGGCTTGCCAAGCCTATTCTTCATTGATTTATATCCCACTTTTTTTTTTTTAAGAACTCAAAGCAACCCCTTGAGGAAGGATAGACTGAGAGACCGTGACCAGCCCCAGCTGGCTCCATGGGCTAGTGGGGACTAGAAGCCAGATCGTCTGAGTCCCAGTCCTGCTTTCTTAACCACTATACCACATACATTGTCTTCCAGTGTGGTGATGATCAAATGAAGGTGCAGGAAGAAAAGAGCCCCATATGCCACCTTGAGCTCCTTGGAGAAAAGATGAGGTAAAATACCATACAGCGTTGGTCTTTTCTGGTTTGAGAAGGAAAACAGAGTATAACAAAAGTATGAAAAGCAAAGTGTGTAGCGTCACAAAAAAAGCCTAAGGCTGGACCACTGCTATCAGTAGCAAAAAACTGTAGCATGCACATTAAAACCCTGCTATTTCTTCGGTTCGCTTTGGCAGACAAAATGATGCAGCACAATTAAGATGGAAACCACAGCTTTCAACAATATACTTTTTATTCTAAAAAGTTCTCCTGTTTTAAAATATAGCCTACATTAAAAAAAAAAAAAATCAGGATGCAGGACTTAGTTTAAAGGTACTGAACAAGCACATTTTGCTCCATTGAAGCAACATCCAGTAAGGTTTTCTTGCATTTTTTCATGTGTAACTTGCTATGATTTCCTGAAACATTTCTTTTTGGAGTTATAGTTAATGTAGGACCATTAGTAGACAATGTATCCAATAAACACTGCCCCTAAATAACAAATACTAATGGACAAGAGCTAAGTACACAACCTTTAACATACAGAACTTACAAATCAGATTGCTTTTTGGGTAGGTACCAAATGTCCTCCCTGTGTTACGTATACACACTGGGCAAATATGACTAATTCATGCATTTTATTCTCTGCTGTATAAATTGCCTGAGAGATTCTTTCAAGATGAAGGAAAAGACTACTTAGGGCACAATCCTATCAAGATTATCAAATGCAGAGGATGTGCAGCAGAAGCTATTTTCACACACACGTACATTCCTCCTTTTCTACATTTTCACTAGACCTTGTGTCTTAGCTGGCCCAGTCTCCTCCCCTTGAAATAGTTCTTTCTGCATCAACTGCAAGGGGGTTGGTTGGGCAAGGGATCACAGCTCTGATTCTGAACTCCATAGTCATGGTGCTGTCTCTAACCTTAGTGCTGAGAATTCAAACTATTCTATGGGCCCCAAACAATTTCTAGGGCCACAGGATTATTCCTTTGTCCTTGGAGTACAGCCAATAAAGGAAAGGTATTATAGAGAAGCAAATACACTGGGGTCCAAAACAATCAAAAACAGTTAAGGCCTATTCTGTAAATAATATTTTGCAGATAGCTATATTAGTATTTTCTGAGTGCCAAATATATGAATTCTTTTCAGAGTGTTTATCTGTCAGGTCATCCAAAACTACCAGTCAGTAGTGAAAAATGATTGTGCACTGAACTAATCTGCAAAAAATAATGTACTTTTCTAAAAACAGTTGAAAATTGAATTACAAAATAGCTTAAGCATATAGAAATGGCTATTATCAATATTAATATTTCACTGATCTTCCACAGCATCTACATAAATATGTGCATTTCAAAAGTTGGAAAGATGTGCCAGACCAACTGAATATGAACTTTTAAATGACTGCTTCTTTTAGCTGAATCATCAGACATACAGTCATAGTCATAAATGTCTGGTTTGGGTTCTTAGCTGGAAAGGACCTTCAGTTTGAAGTGCAGTCACTGAATAAAACTAACTGTAATAGAAAAAAAGTGTCTTTTCCTCTGGATAAGTAAAATGTAATCTTCAATATGTGGACTTCTGAGAAGCAGGGTCATATGTGGAAGGTGTTAGGTTAAAAGTGATTATTCCTTGGCTATGAATGAATACAAATTGTCCTCAAATGGTAGGATAAGCAGCTGCAACAGGACAAATTTACAGCCACCAGAAATCTTCCCCAAAGGCAGCTCTAAACAGTTGTCAGTTTCACCAACACATAATTTACTTACCTTAAAAAAAATTAAAAACTACAGTAAGTGCCAAAAAGAAGCCCTGAACTTCCAATGAAGAAAGATACGAAAGGACACTGCTTCTGGCCTCCATCCCCAAAAGGTCCAACACTGCCTAAACCATGAAGCAACTGCATCCATAAGACTAACCAGAATGACCAGAAATTGAAAGATCAGTACTATCAATTCAGCAGTCTAAGCTATTTTGACAACAAAAACTTATGTTGCCTAAGTACATCCAAGTTAGCTGTAACAGCCAGCTCAGATGATCTTTGCAACTGTGTACGGTAAGGAAGTGGGACTGTGGTTATCCGAGCTGTCCATTGTGTTTCCTATGTAGTCTCCAGGCTTCTATATCATCATGTGTGCTATGTGCATAGTGTATGCACCTAAAAAAAAATCAGTATGTAGGTTTGAATCCTATGGTTGATTCCTACATTTTAAGCAGCATATCCACCTGCAGTTTGAGCTTTTATGCTTTGGGGGTGTTGTACATAGACACTGAAAATCAGGATTTCCACATGTAGAACTCCAGGAAGCATGTAGATGTGACAGCTGCTTCCAGAGGGCAGAATGAACAGCACAATTCCACTACTGCACGCCACAATAGCCAGAAAGTATGTCAGAATTCATGTCATTGCAGCATTTTTTTAGCACCAAAGAAAAAGCAAAATGTTAAGAATACATATCTCACTAGTCCTGAACACAGAGAGATGTTGATGGCTCTTGATCTGCAGAAGCAGTTCCTACTGGCTGAGAATTAGCCAGCTCATGATAAATGGAGTCATCATGAAAGCTCTGTTCACTTTCCAGGCTTGGAACAGCCCAGATGTCACCACGACTACAACTAGTGGAATGCATTTTGAAGTGGTTGCTTTCTGAGTAAAAAAGAGAAAGAAAATTAATAATCATGGAGACATAAATATTGTTCAGCTGCCATTATCTCTGATTGATGCTGAAATTCTATAATAACACATGAGTGCTGCAGCATTCACATCCTGCTTGTGGACTTCCCACAGGAATATGGCTGGCAACTGTGAGAACAGAATGCTAGATGGGATAGGCCTCTGATCTGATCCAGAATGGCTCCTTATGCTCTTATATTAGAAGGAACGAGCCTGCTGAACACAGCTGGATTTACCTTGACATGATCAAGCTGTACTGGACAGCACCCACAGAGATCAATTTCAAATCAACAAACTATCCCACCCCAGTGTCCAATATCCTTGAGAAAACTACATTGAATGGGAAATCATTCATTTTATACTGTTTTAGTTTGTGCTCATTTAGAAACTATGTTTCAGAACCCTTCCCACCTACCTGTCTTAGCAAATACTTTCTCCCATGAGTAGTTAGCTAGATTCACAGCTTGCAGCACCCAAGGGTCCTTCACGACTTTTTCTAGAGTTGCACGGTTCTCTGGAAAAGGCTGCAAGAGCTCAGAAAGAAGATCCATCAGGTCTGAGGGAAGCAAGAATAATAATATCAGTAGCTTTCAGACTGGCATTCAGTCTGTCAATTGTTCTAGTTACATTAGGCACTAGTGCAAATTCATCAACTTGAATGATTTTAAATACAGTATCCACTCATCACATGTCAAAAATTTTCACACACACACAGCTTCTTGAGTAATTATTTTATTCCCTCAAGAAAGCCTCCACTTAGCTACAAAAATGAAGCAGAGTCAAGCTTAAGCACCACCTGCTTAGATGGTCCCAAAGGATTCATATAATTGTAATAGCCAGTTGGCTGTCTGCTTAAAAAGCAAATCCCTCATAGATCTTTGGAAATAGGATTGTTCTGCTTTGTTTTGAAGCAACACAATTCATTACTTGATCCACAAGTCACACAAAAATGATGTACAAACTGGAAAGCGCAATCCAGAGGCAATACAGTAAATACCACTTCTGTGCCTGTGAGTGGTATGACTGTTACATGCATGTACTTGTAAAAACAAAAACCCAATTACTGCTTTTCCTAGGGAAAGACAGCTTTTCCCTAACCTTTTGAAGAAATCTGGCAGGCAAGCACCTACTTCTGAAGTGCATTACTCCCCAAGATTATTTGGCCTAACACACTTGCAAAGGGGCAAAAGAAGGAACTGTTTGCTATGTCGCCTCTGACAAGACCAGTAAAAGCAGGTTGCTTACCTGTAACTGATGTTCTTCGAGTGGCCATCTGTGCAGTCACACATATGGGTGCTGCGCCTGCGCAGTGCCTTTGGCCGGAAGATTGCCAGCTAATGGTTTTTGGCGGGAAGCTCCACTCCCCCTCCCCCCGTGGCCTATAAAGAGCGGAGCGTCCGCCATTTTGTTCAGTCTTTGCGACCGAACGTGTGCCCCCTTGTGGAAAAATTTGTAATTCGAGATAGGGAAATAGAGGGTCGGTACCATGAAAAAAGGGAACCTTCGGTACCGATAGATGTATCCACTCACCGACACCGAGCGGAGCCGGCAGGTGGGTTGTGTGACTGCACAGATGGCCACTCAAAGAACATCAGTTACAGGTAAGCAACCTGCTTTTCTTCGTCGTGGCCTCCGTGCATCACACATATGGGTAGATTAACAAGCTTACCATAAAGGAGGAGGGAAGGTGTCCTCAGTGAAGAACAGACGAAAGAACGGCTCTGCCAAAGGAGCAATCCCGTCGAGCCCAAACATCAAGACGGTAATGTCTGGCGAAGGTGCAGGGGTTCACCCAAGTGGCAGCTTGGCATACATCATCAAGCGAGACCCCAGATGCAAAGGCGGACGAGGTTGCAACGGCCCTAGTGGAATGGCCTCGAGGGACTGAAGGCAAATCTATCTTAGCTAGTTGATAAGATGATAGTGTGGACTATCCATTTGGACAGTCTCTGTGGCGTGACTGGATCGCCCTGATCTCTACTTAATGAACAGTTTATTTGAACGTCAAATAGACTCAGTCCTCAATCTGTAAAAGGCTAAGCAATGCCAAACATCAAGTGAATGCAAAGATCTCTCTAGTGGAGTTGACGGTGACGGGAAAAAGGCAGGTAACACAGTATCTTGCCCCATATGAAAAGGCGTAGTCACTTTAGGCAGAAAAGACGGGTCAAGGCATAAAACGACCTTCTCCCTGTGTAAGTTCAAATAAGGAGGGTCTATGCAGAGAGCGCAAAGTTCACTGGCCCTTCGGGCTGAAGTGACCGCCACGAGAAATGCTGTCTTCCATGAAACCAGGCGCAGATCCACTGCTGCCAATGGTTCAAAGGGGGGCTTTCGTAAGGGCTTGTAGAACAACAGAAAGACTCCAGGTAGGCATTACTGGTCTGATTAATGGGTTAAGCTTATATAGTCCCTTAAGAAATCTCTTTACGATAGGTTGAGAAAAGAGAGGTGATCCATCGACTAAGCCACGATAGTGGGCTATTGCTGCCGTATATACTTTAATAGACGACGGCTTTAATCCAGAATGGTGCAGTTCCAATAGGAACTGAAGGATTTGATGTATAGATGACATGAATGGAGAGAACGAACGAGACTCGGCAAAGTTGAAAAAATGTTTCCATTTAGCCGCGTATGATTTCCTTGTGAACGGCTTTAAGGCAGAATCAATGATATGTTGGATATCAGGGTGAAAAGCTGTCAAATTCGACAGGTCATGTCTTGAATCCGATGGTACAGAATGAACAGAGGAAGAGGAAGCACCAGAGTGATTGGATTCGACAACTGGATTCGATTCAATTGAAGTTGTCGTTGGTACCAGGGGGACAATGGTAGTCATCGGATTCGCCACGCTGTTAGATTCAATGAGAGCAAGTCCGGGTGGCGAAGCATACCATCCTGTTGGGTTATAAGGTATGGAAACGATGGTAGATGAAGATATTCCCCGTGAGAGATGTCGAATAGTGTCACAAACCAAGCTTGGTGTGGCCACCAAGGGGCAACTAGTATCCCCGATGCTTGGTCATGCACTATTTTCGCTATGACCCGCATCATAAGAGGGATCGGGGGGAAGGCATAAAAGATCATGTTGTTCCATGGGATCATGAAAGCGTCCCCTAAGGATGCGTCTCCGATTCCCGCTCTCGAGCAGTAAGCATTGCACACCCTGTTCTGTTGGGTGGCGAATAAGTCCACGTCGGGAAACCCCCAGCTGGAAAAGATGGTCGCTAGCTCCCATTCGTGAGAGGTGAACATGTGCCTGCTGAGAAGATCTGCCTGCACATTGTCCACACCAGTGAGGTGACCAGCCATTAGCGTGATGTCTCTCGGAATGCACCAGTCCCAAATTTTCATGGAAAGTCTGGCCAGAGTCGGTGACTTCGTTCCCCCCTGCTTGTTCAGATAGAAGACGGTAGCTACATTGTCCAAGGTTATCTGAACGACCCGATGTTGAAGAATGTCCTTGAAAGAGCACAGGGGTCTGAGTACTGCCAATAGCTCGAGGAAGTTGATATGATTCATGGATTCTCGATGATTCCACGTGCCTTGGGTATACAGGGTGGAGCATATCGCTTCCCATCCCAGAAGAGATGCGTTGGTACCGAGGGTTATCGAAGGAGGCCATGCTCTGAAGGGCACTCCAACAGTCAGATTGGCTGGTACCGACCACCAAAGTAGAGAATGGAGTACGGAAGATGGGATTCGAATCAATTTCGACGGTGGGTCTCTCTGAGGATGGTACACCTTGTTGAAGAGAAGTTGTAGAGGACAGAGCCAAAGCCTGGCGTGCGGAACTACAGCAACCAAGGAAGCCATATGGCCCAGGATCCTCTGGATGGACTTCGCCAGGACCGTCCCATCTCATCGCATTCGATGGATGTGGCGAGCAAGAGTCTGTTGTCTGTCCCGAGGAAGGAAGGCTTTCTCCAGCGTCGAATCCAAGCCCTGGGAGGACTCCACTATGACCAAGTTCGGCTTGGGGTGGTGGAGGAGTAAGGGGATGTCCTCCTCCCGAACCCAGTACATAGATTCGTACCTCCTGGATGTAGGCTGAGGGTGGGAGGGCAAGTCCCAGGGCTGCGTCATCACTTGCCGAAGGGTGGTTATGAGTGGCAGGATGATCAATGTCGACTGCTCTCCGCGGACATCGTAGAACTTGTCCGTTGTCGGTTCCGGACGCTGGACAGCGTCGATGTCGAGGGACTGGACAAGTCTGGACATCGTCTGGACATCAGCTCCGCGAAGGAGACGTGAGATTCGTCCGGTGACGCAGGACCCTGGGATGTCACGGCGATGTCTGGGGAGGCTGAATCGCCCTCTGAATCATCAGAATCGGCACCATAGTATGGTGGAGCCAATGACGAAGCTCCGCTGGAGAAAAAGAGCGGCTGCTACCATCCCTAGGGGATCGTGGAGATACACGTCTCGGGTCCGAGAGATGTAGTCGGTCGCGAGATGGTGGAGAGGACCGACCCATAGGAGCGGGGTAATATCCTACAGAGAGTGGATCACCCCAGGTATGATAGTAGGGGCGACGCCATCCCTCCGAACGTTGCTCCATGGAGCGGCTCCTCCGGCTCCCAGGTGGGGACATCCCTGCATCTGCCTCCACAGTGGCCGCAGGCATGGGTGTAGGCGACCGAGCCCTAAGGGGAGAGTCCTGAATTTCTCCATCAGAAATCAAGCCCCTTTGCAGAGTTGGAAGGGGCGCAGATGGGAGGTTGGCCATGCGGCGCGGGGACCCTTGAGGGGTAACCCACACAGGCTCCTGAAGAACCGGGTCGGGTGGAGTCGGTACCGTGAGCGCTACAGGTACTGAGGGTGCCGTCGAATCCGAATCCCGGTGACGAGGACGATCCAAGTCCCTCGGTTTTTTGGAAGGCTTGGAGACTTTCTCCTTCCTGGCCTTCTTATGGCCTGCCGACTTCTCGGGTTCAGCATGCTTCCACTTCTCATGCTTCTTTTTGGGGGAAGCAGAGGTAGCCACCATAGCAGACGCGCCTTTGTCCGAAGGGCGTGAAGGTGGGGCTACTGAAGCGGAGCCAGGCTTTGGAGCAGAAAGCAACAGGTCGGACTGCATGAGAGCCCGATCCCAAAGGAGCCTCCGGAAGCGGTTTTCGCGATTCTTCCTGGCCTGCTTGGAGAAGGCCAGGCAGTGAGCACATTTATCGGTCCTATGCCCCTCGCCGAAACAGAGGAGGCATAGGTCATGCGGGTCAGTTGGTGACATTTTTGACCCGCACTCCGCGCATTTGTGGAAAGCCGCTCGCTGCACCATCGCAGAAAAGGAAAAAGAGTGCAGAAGGTAAGCATATATTTTTGGGGGGGTTTTTTTAGATAGATCGAAAGAAGGTAGAGTGATAGAGAAAAAACTACAGGAACTATACGAAGCAGAGATATTTAACTAACAGGAATAAGGAGAAAAAACCGGAACTATAGAACTGGAACAATCGAGAAGAAAAGGCTAACGAGTAATGGTCAGAGCGAAAGTCGAAAGTGGCACGAGGCACAGTGAACGGCGGTTGCAAAGACTGAACAAAATGGCGGACGCTCCGCTCTTTATAGGCCACGGGGGGAGGGGGAGCCGAGCTTCCCACCAAAAACCATTAGCTGGCAATCTTCCAGCCAAAGGCACTGTGCAGGCGCAGCACCCATATGTGTGATGCACAGAGGCCACGACAAAGAACATAATGGTTACTGGTCACAAGCTATCATGCCTCTTTATATCTCCAGGCTTATCAGAGGCCTGAAATGAATGTGAAAGGGGACTGAACATTTTACTTCAGCATTATCTCAATGGTCTCACCCAGAAAAATTAGCCCTTGGCCTGTTTCCTTTCCATCTGTAACTTCTTAACAAAATACCCACCAGCTGACACACTGTATGGGGGCCTTAATACAGCATCCATAGTTTCTTCCAGTTCACAAAAAGGATTTTCTCCAAAGACGATTGTATAAAGTGTTACACCAAGTGACCACATCTCCAGCTCTGGTCCTAGATATCTACAGAGGAAAACACAGTTCAAGACAACAATGCTCTCCAAAAATTCAACCAAAAGGAAAATGCGAGCAAAAAAACCTCCACATATAACTGTTTAAGAATAGGATTTGGATGAAAAATGAACCAAACACAATTTCTTCTTCATACCTCCCAAAACATTTGTCCTCTACTCCCATCACCCAGCATCTAGTTTCTGGAGATCTTGTTGAAAAAATGGCACAGGTGTGTCTATCACTGGTCAAGCAGAACTCTCCACCCTGCCCACCCAAAAAGAGTTTGGAGAAAGAGTGTTCTAGATCAAAATAATTTCTGAGTTCAATGATAACCAACAGAATATAAAAGCCTAAATCAACTGGGAGGAATCATCTCCTATCCTGACTATTTTTTGACTATTGCATCTTGGCTTATTAAACATGCAAGTATTTTGCTTTTCTCTTTGCAGAAACAAGCAAATAAACCAGAAGTTACTAATCAACCATAGTATGTGAACCAGGAAATTATACTGAACAGCTTTAGAACAAGCAAGGATATTATATCATTGTCAAACCATGGCTTATATCTTGATTTGTTCCTAAGTTATTAACCACAGTCTGAACTGGGATACTCTGGTTAGTGGAAGTCTTCATAGTTTGTCACAACCAAAAGGCTCACTTATTCTTATTTTGGCTTATTAATTCAGGAATGAACTCTAAACGCATACATACGGATTGCCTGAGAGAACTTCTGGTGAGCAGTACTCAATTGTCCCACAGAAAGTATAGAACAGCTTGCCAGGTTCTAGGTAAGCAGCTGAACCAAAGTCTATCAGCTTAATAGTGAAATCTTCAGCTATTATGATGTTCTCATCCTTGATATCTCTGTGTAAAATATTCCTACAGCGTAGATAGCCCACAGCAGATACCAGCTGGCCAAAGATGAGACAGAAACAGAAATCAGAACTGACTCTATTACAAATAATTTAAATTACAATGCCTAGAAAATTTATACCAGTGTTTTCCTTTGAAAACTAGTTGTGTTCATTAAAAAGTTACAAACTTTATTTATTAGCATGCCCCATGTTTCCCTGACTACCCTGCCTGTAAAATATTTTCCTGACTGATCCTCATACAGATCGTTCTTTCCCTGCCCCTGCAAACAGCAACAAGTGATTTGTATCCGGATCACTGATAGGAAGCTTCTTGTGCAACCCAAGTCAGTATCACATGTTGCTGTCAGGGCTAAAAAGACTTTGCAGCCCAGAGCTAGTACTGAACCTGGCATTCATTCTAAATAGTTTCCCACTAATACATGTGAAAATTATTGCAGTTATTTGAAAGTTACTGGGGCTGACTCAATGGAAATCTAGGCAGCTGCAATGCAAAGGAAAGCAAAACAGGGGATGTTTCACTGATTGCCACTGAGGTCCTCCCTTTTTCTTCCCCAGATTACAATGTGTTGCTGATAAATGCATCATGGATATAGCCCAAAAGAGATGTGTATATGTTGACACAATTTGTAATTGCATGACTTTTTTTCAAATAAATAAGCAGTCACAGGAGTCCCAGTTGGGGGGTGGGAAGGGCTTTAACCATCTGAAACACAACAGGCTAAATTCAACCATACTTCCCCATGGCCATTTGCATCAGGAAAGTTTTTCCCATTACCTTATCAGCTAATAACCTGTAGATCCATTTAAAATAAATAAATAAAAATCGTACCTGTCTGAATATGTAGCTTGCTAAAGGCTCATCCAAATCAGGCTGGTTATCAATGAATGTAAAGAGATCCAGACCTGTTCCATGCTTCTCCATGACTAGCTGGAAGAACTGCTGGTTCTCAAATACATCTAGCACCTAGTGACAAAGGATGCCATATGATTACTTCAAAGTAACTTTATCTCACTGCGTTCCCCTTAAGGAAAAAAATGACTCAGCTACATTATAACACAATTAAATTCAGAAATTTCAGTTTAGGAGAACCTAAATGGAGATTTATTATCACATATATATATTATAGCTATCACATAATACCTTAATTGAGAACTAACAAGAAATTTCATTCCATTCCTTTTCATTACATTTCTATACCACCCAATAGCCAAAGTTCTCTGGTCAATTCATAACATGATAAACGTAACATAAACCTTTGATCATTCAAAAATGTTTGAAAATATGGGGGAGGGGGTGAAAATACATTAAAACCAACTAACAATGAAGCCTAACATATGCCTTTAAATGCCAGTAGAATAAAGTCTTAACCCAGACCCCCAATTCATATGGTGGCAAACCATGGGTTTATGGGTTAAACAGCCCAGAAATAGTCCAGTAACAAATTTGGATTTGGACTGCACATTCATACCTTATGCATGTGTTCTCTGTAGGTTTGATGCAGATTAGAAATGAACCTGGAAGCAGCTCCTCTGAGCAGACCTATACTGGCATATTTCCAGGTTTATAAGTAAACAAAGTATATTCAGATAAACTATACACAAAGGAGAAAGGGTTGGCAAAGCCTTCTTAAAGTTAACAAAGCTTATATATGATTTCTGCTTACCAATGTGCAATACAGATATGGTAATACTCAAGAAACTACATTCAACTTCTCTGGATCAGAGAAGTCCAGGTCTAATCAAAAGATCCGCTGCTGATCTCTCTCTTAGTCTGGGACAAGCTGTCCCAAAACTTCCACTTTGGTGCATTTCATTCATCATTGTAGTTGCTGCAGACCATCAAGCCATCTGCTACTTGATTTTTATATTCTTAAAAAATGGAAGCTGTTTGTTTCATCAAGTTGTTTATGAACCCAAAGTGGCTCACAAACAGCATAAAATCCCACAAACTGTATGCTAAGCCACAATCTGACACTATGACATACAAACCAAGACTAACTGGCACTAGATATTCCCCCCGGGGAGAGCACTCTACAATCAGGGGACCACTACCAAAAAAGCCCTTTTCCTTGTTGTCATCCTCTGAGCCTCTCTGGGGGGAAGCTCTAAGAAGAGAGCTTTAGATGTTGATCACAGTGTTCAGGTAGGATCATACCATGAGAGGCAGTCTACACCAGGTACTGTGATTCTGAGCCATGTAAGGGTCAAACTCAAGACATCGAGTTGGGATTAAAAATATATAGGCAGTCAGTACAATCAGCCAGAAGTGATGTTCCATCTCAGATCGTTTGAACCCCACTATCCATCTGGCTATGTTTTGCAGAAACTGCAGTTTCCAAAAAAGTTTCAAGGATTTGTTTATTAGCTTTCATATAGTCCACTCTCACAACCAGGCGCTTATCTAGCACATCACAGACTCACCTGTTAAAGATGAAAAGGAAAATTAGAGCTATGTGTCATGAGCATACTGATGGCAATGCATTCTAAACACCAGTTGACCACAATCCAAACTTTCACATCACTGTTAAATATCACGGCAACAAAAATGACCATGCAGAAGCTCATGCTGGAGAAGAATTCATGGAACTGAGCAGTATTCAGCAAGCACCACCTTCTGAAACAAACTATCCAAACGGGAACAGAACCACTACAGTGCAGTACCCCGTCTCACTTCACTTAGTCTTTCTAAAAGGGTATTATGATTACTGGTATCAAAAGCTACCAAAAGATAACAGAGAATCAACAGGATAACATTTCTCCATCTTTTTCCATACTTAGGTCATCATATAGGACAATCAAAATTGTTCCTATGCAAAAACCTGGCCAAAATCCCAGTTGAAATGGATCCAGTTAAACAGTGGAAATTATGGGGGAATCCTAAAACTTAAGATTTTACATAGGAACATTAACTTCAGTATCACAGATTTTACTGCATGGACAGGTATTCACACCAGATAAAAATTTGTAGTCAACTTCATATATGACAAATTCTTGACATCCAACTGTATTTTCCACTACTGATGCCAAACACAGTGAATTTGTGCTACAAACCCAAACAATAAAAGAGCTCACTGTATGAATTTAACAGAAACCATATCTCAACCAACTATACCTTAATGATATTGGGGTGCTGAAGCTTTCTCAAAATTGCAATCTCCTGAGTGACTGTACCCAGCTCAGGATCTTCTACCCAGCAGTAGTCCAATACTCTCTCTTTCCAAATGAACTTCACTACAGCCTGCGAATGACACAAGGGAAAGGGAGATTAATATTAAGCAGACAACTAAAATGCAGGGGAGAAATAAGTAAGGTACTTAAAAAATAATCAGAACAAATGAATTCTAAAAGATTGTATGTTTCAGCAGTATATTTGACAGCTCAAATATGTGAATGTTTCATAGGCATTTTGTATAAGTACTTCTGGACAATTATTTCTAATCTCTTTCATATACGCTAGAAATGTATTCCTTACATGCATTTCTTCCTCCTTTTAACTGTGTAATGGCTAAATTAGAATTTTTGGAGACAATTGTAAGTAGTACTACACTAATAACCACTTACAGTTTCAGGTTTCTATTTCACAATTCAGTTACATCAGAACATCTAGGTTTACACCAATGTACAGCCTGATCACATGAATTATTGCAGAAGGATGGCTGCTCATAGCTTTTAACGTAAGAGTTCCACCATTGGTAAAGATATTATTAATCTCCTGGGACAAAACACTAGGGAGTTGCTAGTGTTTTCTCCTCGACTCAAACCCAATTATTCTAAAGGATAATATACAGAGGCCCACTAGCTCCCGCTGATAGGTCTTTTGCTGTCTTTGGATTTTTGTAAGTGTGGGAAGCAAGAGTACTATGTCTCATTTGTTATACACAGGGTATTACCAGGAACGCTCAGGAAGTCCTTCTCTTCTAAATTTCTCCCAAGATTTTATGGTTCTAAACTTCCTAGTAGGAAGGCCACCACTGTTCCATTATCTAAAATTTCTAAACATTGCTTAGAATGTTGCAGATACAGTTTTTTGCAATTTGAACCCTGTCCCTTCCTGCTTCCTGTGTACACAAGTCCATTGACTAAAATAACAGGGCATCAAGGAATCGTGATATGACTATGCCATTAGATCAAGATAACATTATGTGCTGAATTTTAATTAACATCCATGTACAGACTATCAAGAAAGAATACAGCAAATGAAAACTGCAGCAAATTGTACTTAGATCAATCCCAGCGTTCCACAGCTGGAAAGGATCACACTATATATTGTACTGATTCCAACATCCTCTTATAACTGAGCTCCAGATTAAAACAGAGAACAGTGTGTTGCAATAGGTGGCCTAACCATTCCCAATATAGATCAATTGAAGTCTGTTCCAAGTAGGTGTTAATCCCAGACATCAACTGGAAACAGACAAAATAGATTAACTCTGCTACACACAAAACATATCTATATCCTCAAGACTCATGGAAAAATGTGAAGTTTTCTCTGTTAAGCAGTACTGTGTTATAGCTGTTCACTGTTATTAAACATGCAGTTCAGCATTTTCTGACTCATCCCCACTCCCTCCTAAAAAAGGGCAAACTTCAAGCTTCTTGGAACAACTTTGGGTTTTTTTTTACTAGAACCCCAGAGTCCACCAAGTGAAGCCGAATTCACAATCAAGGCTCAAGATAGCAATCATACCCTTGGAATTAAGAAACAGGATGTTCCTGAGCACATACTCAGCCCAGGCATTTGTTTATAGTGCTAGCGCAGAAGTCATAATCATAAATCTATTCCTGTTCTCATCCAACACCAGCTTCCTTTCTTTTTGTTGATGTTTTGTTAAGCTGATGGGAATCACAATTCCTTCTGATGTGCTGCATGTCACCTAGAGATCTACCAGTAGATAACTCATCTACCTTCTGCCCTCTACTGCTCATCTCAAAGAAAGAAACAAGAAGGAAGCCATGCTGGATCAGATCAAAGGCTTAGCTAATCCAGTTTGCACAGTGGTCAGCAGCATAAAGCATGAATCCAATACCATGCTCCAGCTTGTATACCCCAGCAACTGCTGTACAGAAGCATACTACCTCTGATACTGGAGTTATTATATAGCTATCATGACCCATATCCTTAGTCACCTCCCATATCAAAAATATTAGAGGATTTTGTTGTCAGATTACAACAGACTGCCTGCTGGGCCTGTAATTTAAGGATACTAGCTAGGCACTTTACAGACCTAAGGGAGTAGGCTGAAACACCAGCTGCCACATCTCCTAGCAACTAAATTATGCATGTTTTATGTCTTACTGAGAAGAAGAAGAGGCTGACATTCCTGGTCTCTGCAAACAGGAAGGAGATGACTTGACACCTCTAAAATAGCAATTATATTAATCCTGTGGGAAAATATATCCGTCTAGAGTTGTAACAAATTATTGAGAATATAAACTCTTTTGAATGCGCAATACACAAATCACCAACTTAAAACATAATGCCAAGCAATAAATAAATAGCTTAATTTGAAAGGCCCATTAAATTGTATTCATCAATAACCATGTTTCTAACTGAACTCTGCAATGAAGAAAATTGAGTGCTTCAGAAACCTACATACAAACACATTTTTCCAAAATCAAAAAGACTATGAATGAGCAATATACTAAGAAAACACTTGAGAAATAGTGTTTCTGAATACTATTAAGAGACTTTTAGTATTGGGATGACATATAAAATCTTTAAACAAAGTTTGTTTTTTTTACTCTTTCACCTCCTTGAGATCCTTCTTGCATTTGGCTGTCCAGACAAATCCAAAAGCTCCTTTGCCTATGAGCTTAAAAGTATCATATTTCTTTTCATAGTCTCCTTCACAAGCCTTCAATCTTTCCAATTCTTCAGCTTTTCGTGAATTCTCAAGCAAGGGCACAGGTTTGATCAACTGCAGTAGAAAGGAACAGACAGATACACACTACAAAATCTGAGTGACCTAATCATTGTATGTATAATCAGTAAGTAGCAGAACAAGGAAGATGCAAAGATAAGCAGGTATTGTAAGCAGCAACTTCCCCAAAATTACTGGGCTAGTTCTTTAAGTCCATCCAACTGTTTACATTAGTGGTCTATTTATATCTTTGCAACCACTTACACATTTGAAATAGATTCAAAATGATTCTTGTACTCAACCTTTATTAACCCCACAGGATGCTCATTTCAACTAATGATTACATGATTTTAAAAACCTAGATAACTTAAAATAGATCCATTTGGCAAACTTCTCCATTCTAAATATACCAGTGATCAGCATCTTGGCAATTCTATCTACTGCTCTGGGAGTATGTTGTGAACAATGGCAAAACTTGCCCATCAGTGATGGGCATCCTTATGTTGGGAGACTGCACAGAATTGCCAGGAAATAGCTAGAACAGCCTTCCCCTGCCTGCTGCTCTCCAGATATGTTGACTACAACTATCAGCATTGTTGTCTAATATGACTTGAGGACACAAACTTGTATAAGACTGATCTAGAAAGTCACTAAGTGTTCTAAATACGGTAAATTATTAGCAGGGCCTATTTTTTTCTCCCCGGCTAAGACACCCACACCCATACTACGTATGGGTAGTATCTGCGTATCTGCTTTTTTTCAAGCGTATCTGCTTGAAAAAAGAATTCAAGCAGATGCAATGTATATATTTAACAGAAGGGCTTGGATATGCAAAAATGAATAGAATCTGTGGAAAACAGAGAGGTAGGTTTGAACTCTAGAAGGCCACTTTTCAAGGGTCTGCTTCTCTGGGGATGTTATGTGAGGCTATGAATTACTGCTCAGTAGGAGTGCTGCAGTGTCTGCTTCCACCTTATTTTTCTTATTTATTTTGATTTTTATACACCACCATATTCCCATAGGTTTGGGGGGCTTACAAGAAATTAAACCCAAATTTAGACTAAAATAAGAACTTTAAATAAAAATAATCTGGGAATGTTTTTATTTATTAAACAAATTAAAGCTGTTCTCAATTATGTATTTGCAAAGGAACCCATGTATTACAGAAACGCTTTATGTCTTCCATGAATTTTCCCAAAGGAAATGAAACACAGGAAGGTACTGCCCCTCAAACATCATGCTTGGAATGAGGTGTAACTACTAAACTGCATTCTAAAGAAAAAAAGAACTTTTAAAAGCACCCTCATGTACATTACATCTAAGCAAAAAGGGTCTATACTTGCTCCTGCCAACATAAGCAAGGATAAAGAGAGCTCAGTCTCTGTCCAGGATTGCTCAAATTACCACATCCCAACAATGTAGGAATATGCAATCACAAAACAATAAAAAATGTCCGTCATACACAGGATGTGAGTGTAGTAATACACACTGCAGCATAGGAGAAAAGATACTTAACATAGCTTAATGCAATTCCTACAACAGCAGTTCCTCTACAACCCATGCTGGGAAAGGAGTATGGTAATTGCTCATAATGGCATTGCAAATAAATGTTAATACACACTGAGTGCAAGCCAGCCTCCACAAAATAAGCTCAGACTGTACATTTACTAGGGTAATGGTGATAATGGAAGGGTTCCTTCCAGTGTTGTGAGGCTGGCGATCCTTCCCAGAGAAAGCAATCACTCCAGCAGATACTGCAAACATCTTTATTCCAAAAAGCTATACATATCAAATTGAAACAGGATAGAAAGTTGACCTCTCGCTCTGACGAACTTTACCCCACACTTTGCTTATGAACCCTCCGCGGTCCCACCCCTGGAGGCGGGGCGCTGTGAACTCTCTCTTGTCGTCATTCAGCTAATCAGGATTCCATCTGCCCCAGTCTGTGCATGCGCCTACGAGAACAAGCATCCTCAAATTCTGCTTGCTCCTTATCAGTTTTGTTCTCACACTCTGTATCGGAGTTCATTCTCTTCTTTACCCCCCAAATCACCCTGTTCCTGTGCCTCTGTTTTGTCTTCTTTTGGCACAACACCATCTGGCTCTGTCCTAATCACACCATCTGTGAGAGTAGGGTGGGAAGGTTGTTCTGCTGGAACCAGAAATAAATCTTCACTGATGCTCTGGTTCTCATGAGAATTTTCCTCCCCTTGTGCGTGTGTCAGAGACTCTTCTAAGCACGCGCACATGACATCTAGTGTGACAGAGACATTCAGTCTCCTTCCACTGCCTAAGTAAGGCAGAGATCAGAAGAATGATTTTTAATAATAGATTTGATGCTGTAAGACCCCTTTTCAACCATGTCATAAGAACATAAAAAAGGCCTTGCTGGATAAGACCAACGGTCTTTCTAGTCCAGCACTCCATGCACACAGTAGCAAACCAGTTGCCCACAGGATTCCTCAAGCAGGATAAGTGCAAGACCTCCTCTTCCCCAAGCATCTCAGTATCTGGTATATGCAGGCATGCCACCCAGTCTGGTAAAGGAGGAAGCACAGTCAACAAGGCTACTACCCGCTGAAAGTCTTCTTCCTCATGAATCTGTCCAATCCCTTTTTAAAGTAATTCAGAATGGCGGCCATCGCCACACGCCCCCAGCAGCAAATTCCAGTTTAATTATACTCTGTGTGAAGTACTTTTCTTTTATACAACCTAAAGTTCCACCAATCAGCTTCAAGAGATGACCCCAAGTTAAAGTGTATGGGAGAGGGAGAAAAATGTCTTCCTTTCCACATTATTTTAAAAATGTCTATCATGTTGCGCCCCTTACTCATTCTGAGCTGAATAGTTTCAGTTCTTGTAACCACTCCTCATAAGGGAGCTGTTCCAGCCTCCTGATCATTTTTGTTGCCCTTCTCTGTACTTTCTTTAACTCAATTAAATTACCCTTTTCAGGTAAGGCAACCAGAACTGAACACAATATTCCAAGTGTGTTTGCGTCAAAGATTTGTATAGATTAAGGCATGTTTGATGAAGATGTGAGGCATGTATAAGGCATGTTTGATGAAGATGTGAGGTGTTCTCAGTGGCTGCTCCTGAATTCTTCTAAAGAGTGGGTGAACACCACATTTGCCTGTTTAGTCTAGGCCCTGGATTTTGATGAAGCTTAGATTTCTTACCTTTCCCTCCTTTTTTCAGAATGTGGGGAGGAAGAAAGAGAAGAATCTTTAAAGTTTGCTTGATTTTTAAAAATAAATTAGTATTTCAAAAGAAATGTTGGGAAGCACAGGATGCCAGCTTCATTGGAGGAAACTAACTTTGGAGAAGTCAGGATTGCTAGACCAGGATAGCCTGGAGGAGCAAGACAAATTTCTGTCCATTCCAACTGTTTGCAAAGGGCTAAATTTGTTTCTTGATTTACACTGCCATCTGGTGGTGTGCATTTTGTCATCCCAAGGTAAAGGTCTGGCTTGACACAAAAACAAAGAGGCCAAGAAGAACCATTGCTCTGTTCTCCCACCTGTGCCATCATCACTATGTTCCTGCTGAGTTTATCTGGAGGAGGAAGGCAGAGGTCCCTTACATGTTTGATGTTGTGCTGCTGCCAAATCACCCCCATGGTAACACCAACTAGCACACAGAGAGACATCTCTGCCTGATCCTGTATGGCCCTGATGGTATGTATGTATGTATGTATGTATGTATGTATGTATGTATGGGGTGCCGTTTGGGGTGCCGTTCGGGGGGACGAGAGGGGGGCTGGGCTGGCCATGGACTCTTGTTGAAATAGGCTTGCCTACTGCTGATTCTCAGGGAAGAGGAAGGATCCCCTTTTTTCTTTTTTTTTCTTTTTATCGTTCTTTTTCTCCTCCTCCGACCTACTTTATAATCTTACCCTGCTTTAATTAGTGCTTTGAGTCATTCCTGGCCATGTCGACGTTTATATATCCTGGGGAACCCACGGGGGCTGCTATTGGCGTGGTCACGGGCAATGGTCGTTACAACAATAGGGGCTTAACGTGTCCACGTAGAAGAAGGATGGACAGATGGCTGACACCTGTCCCTCCTTCTGATCCTGCCCCCAACCAGAGGGCGCCAGGTAGCCTTGTCAACCACCCCTCGGGTCTGACAGTGCTGCTGCTCAATGCCAGGTCGATCAATAATAAATCTTCCCTCATCCATGACTTGATTGTGGATGAGGGGGCTGACCTGGCTTGCATAACGGAGACCTGGGCGGGAGAGGGAGGGGATGTTGCCCTCTCCCAGTTGTGCCCGCCCGGGTATCTGGTTCAACACTGTTCACGCCCAGAAGGGAGGGGAGGGGGAGTCGCGTTGGTTTACAGAGCCTCCATCTCTCTCACGGGTCTTCCGGTCCCTTTGAGACCAGGGCTGGAGTGCCTCTACTTGGTGTTGGGCGAACGAGACAGATTGGGGATTCTATTGGTATACCATGCACCTTTCTGCCCAGCAGTCTCCCTATCTGAGCTGACAGAGACCGTCTCGGATCTGGTGTTGAGGACCCCCAGGATGTTGGTCCTGGGGGACTTCAATCTCCATGCCGAGTCTGGACTGACCGGGGCGGCTCAGGACTTCATGGCCTCTATGACGGCCATGGGCCTGTCTCAACACGTCACTGGCCCTACCCATGAACGTGGACACACTCTGGACCTGGTATTCACGACGGGGCAGGTAGAGGATGACCTGAGGGTGAAGAACTTATGTTTGACTCCCCTGTCATGGTCAGATCACCTCCTGGTGAGGTTTGTGCTCGAGAGCGGCCTCTCCCTCTATAAGAGTGCGGACCCGATTGTATGGGCCCGCCCCCGGAGCCGGATGGATCCGGATGGATTCCTGGGGGCCCTGGGGGAATTTCCGGCTGACAAGACTGGTGCTCCTGTCGAGGCTCTGGTCGAACTGTGGAACGGAGAGATGACCAGGGCTGTGGACACAATCGCTCCTAAGCGTCCTCTCCCACCGGGCAGAGTCCGCTCTTCCCCTTGGTATACACCTGAATTACGGGCGATGAAGCGAGTTGGGAGACGGCTAGAGCGTAGGTGGAGGAAATCACGGGATGAATCTGACCGAACACACTTGAGAGCCCACTATCGGGCCTATGCTGTGGCGGTGAAGGCGGCGAAAAAGAAGTTTTTTTCTGCTTCCATTGCCTCCTCACAATGCCGTCCAGCGGAGCTTTTTCGAGTGGTGCAAGGCCTGGTTCGCCTGGGTCCTAAGGAAGATCCGATGCCACCCTCAAAGGCCCGCTGTGACGACTTTGCCAGGCATTTCAGGGAGAAAATCGCTCAGATTCGTCACGAGCTGGACTCCACTAATGAATCAGAGGTCTCTGAGGAGTCGCCAATGCCACCGTCTGGTCCAAAATTACTGGAGGAATTTCAATTATTGCAGCCCAATGATGTGGACAAGGTGCTTGGAAGAGTACGTCCCACCACGTGCCTATTGGATCCTTGCCCGTCTTGGTTAATAAATAACTCCAAGCACGGGATTGGGACCTGGATTTTGGAAGTGGTTAACGCTTCTCTGAGGGAGGGTCGAGTGCCTGCCCCTTTAAAGGAGGCGGTAATACGACCGGTCCTGAAGAAAGCGTCACTGGATCCAGAGATGGCCACTAACTATAGACCTGTGGCCAACATCCCGTTTCTGGGCAAGGTGCTGGAGCGAGTGGTGGCGGGACAACTCCAAGCACTCTTGGAGGAAACTGATTATCTGGATCCTTTTCAGTCCGGCTTCAGACCCGGGTACAGTACTGAATCTGCCTTGGTCGCCCTGTACGACGACCTGTGCAGGGAGAAGGACAGGGGGAGTACATCCCTGTTGGTTCTTCTGGACCTCTCGGCGGCTTTCGATACCATCGACCATGGTATCCTTCTGGATAGACTTGCGGGATTGGGGGTTGGAGGCACTGCTTTGCAGTGGTTCCGCTCCTATCTCGACGGTCAATTCCAGAAGGTAGTGCTGGGGGACCATGTCTCTACGTCATGGCAGCTATGCCATGGGGTACCACAGGGCTCCATTCTATCCCCTCTGCTATTTAACATCTATATGAAACCGCTGGGAGAGGTCATCAGGAGGTGTGGGCTGCGGAATCATCAATACGCTGATGATACCCAGCTTTACCTCTCATTCTCCACTAATCCAGGTGAGGCAGTGGCTGTGCTGAACCGGTGCTTGGCCGAGGTAAGGGAATGGATGAGGGCCAATAAACTGAAACTCAACCCAGACAAGACGGAGGTCCTGTTGGTTGGCGGATCGGGTTTCGGAGAGGGTGGATTTGACCTGGTCCTGAATGGTGCAACACTCCCTCTTAGGGATAAGGTCCGCAGCTTAGGTGTACTCCTCGACCCGGAGCTTTCTTTGGAAGCTCAGGTGACAGCGGTAGCGAGGAACGCCTTCCTTCAGCTTCGGCTGATTAATCAGCTGCGCCCCTACCTGGAATACGACTGCCTGGCGACGGTGACACACGCGCTGGTGACTTCCCGCCTAGACTTCTGTAACGCGCTTTACGTGGGGCTTCCCCTGAAGACAGTCCGAACACTTCAATTGGTGCAAAATAGAGCTGCCAGGTTGCTGACGGGGACGGGGCGTTATGCTCACATGACTCCAGTCCTCCATCAGCTTCACTGGCTTCCCATTGAAGCCCGGGCCCAATTCAAGGTGTTGATTATGACCTACAAAGCCCTAAACGGCTTGGGTCCTGGCTACCTGAACGAGCGCTTACGTCCGTATATGCCCGACCGCCCTTTGAGATCTGCGGGAGAGTCCCTTCTCCGGGAACCCTCCATGAAAGAAATTAGGAGAGTAAGTACCCGGAGGAGGGCTTTCTCTGCGGTGGCGCCCAACCTATGGAATTCACTCCCCAAAGAGGTCCGCCTGGCACCGTCATTACTGGTTTTTCGGCGCCAGGTAAAGACCTTTTTATTTAAACATCATTTCAATTGTTAAAACATATGATCTGGCCTGGGCAACTTCTTCTTCCTTCTCTTTCTCCTCCTATATTTTTATTTTATACTGATAATTTTAATTTTGTATTTGTAAATCAATGTATTTTTTGTATTGTTATATTTAATGGTAATTTATTATGTACTATTGTATTTCAATGTATTTTATCATGTTGTAAGCCGCCCCGAGGTTTCGGCAAGGGGCGGCATAGAAATGTTATAATAATAATAATAATAATAATAATAATAATAATAATAATAATGTATGTATGTATTTAAAACATTTCTATGCTGCCCCATTCACAAAGAGCCTCGGGGCAGCTTACAAGAGCCTCGGGGTGGTACTCCCAGGAGTCCTTGTAACAAGTTTGGGATGGTTTGCTTTTTGCTTCTGCTAAAGGAGGTATGTGGCGTTCCAGGCTGATTTGCACTTTTGCTTGTTTGCAGCCATGGAAATGACTATTTATTTATAAATGGATATGCTGCCTACAGGAGTCTCAAGGCATATAAAAATGCTACAACAGTAAAACCCCAATTATGTATCAAAACCAATGGCGTATAGCACTTGACCACAGGAATTGTGGGCGGGAGAGGGGGGGGATGTTGCCCTCTCCCAATTGTGCCCGCCCGGGTATATGGTCCAGCACTGTTCACGGCCGGAGGGGAGGGGAGGGGGGGTCGCTTTGGTTTACCGAGCCTCCATCACTCTCACGGGACTTCCTGTCCCTTCGAGACCAGGGCTGGAGTGTCTCTACTTGGTGTTGGGCGACCGAGACAGATTGGGAATTCTGTTGGTGTACCGTGCACCCTTCTGCCCAACAGTCTCCCAGCCTGAGCTGACGGAAACTGTCTCGGACCTGGTGTTGAGGACCCCCAGGATGCTGGTCCTGGGGGACTTCAATATCCATGCCGAGGCTAGTCTGACCGGGGCGGCTCAGGACTTCATGGCTTCCATGACGGCCATGGGGCTGTCTCAACATGTCACCGGCCCGACCCATGAACGTGGACACACTCTGGACCTGGTTTTCTCGACGGGGCAGGAAGAGGGTGGTCTGAGGGTGAGGAATTTATGCTTGACTCCCCTGTCATGGTCAGATCACTTCCTAGTGAGGTTTGTGCTCGAGAGCGACATCTCCCTCTGTAAGGGTGCAGACCCGATTGTGTGGGTCCGCCCCCGGAGCCGGATGGATCCGGAAGGATTCCTGAAGGCTCTGGGGGAGTTTCCGGCTGACAAGACGGGTGCTCCTGTCGAGGCTCTGGTTGAACTGTGGAATGGGGAGATGACCAGGGCTGTAGACACGATCGCTCCTAAGCGCCCTCTCCCACCGGGCAGAGCCCGCTCTTCCCCTTGGTACACTCCAGAATTGAGGGCAGTGAAGCAGGTTGGGAGACGGCTAGAGCGTAGGTGGAGGAAATCACGGGATGAATCTGACCGAACACACTTAAGAGCCCACTATCGGGCCTATGCTGTGGCGGTGAGGGCGGCGAAAAAGAGACACTTCTCCGCTTCCATTGCCTCCTCACAATGCCGTCCGGCGGAGCTCTTTCGAGTGGTGCAAGGCCTGGTTCACCCAGGGCCAAAGGAAGAGCTGATTCCACCCTCAAAGGCCCGCTGTGACGACTTTGCCGAGCATTTTAGGGAGAAAATTGCTCAGATTCATCACGAGCTGGATTCCACTATTGATTCAGAGGTTTTAAGGGAGACACCAACGCTGCCGTCTGGTCCAGAATTATTGGATGAATTTCAGTTATTGCGGCCCGATGATGTGGACAAGGTGCTTGGACGAGTACGTCCTACCACTTGCCTTTTGGACCCTTGCCCATCTTGGTTAATAAAGGATTCCAAGCACGGGATTGGAACCTGGATCTTGGAAGTGGTTAACGCTTCTCTGAGGGAGGGTCGGGTGCCTGCCCCTTTAAAGGAGGCGGTAGTCCGACCGGTCCTGAAGAAGGCGTCACTGGATCCAGGGATGGCCGCTAACTATAGACCAGTGGCCAACATCCCGTTTCTGGGCAAGGTGTTAGAGCGAGTGGTGGCGGGACAACTCCAAGCACTCTTGGATGAAACTGATTATCTGGACCCATTTCAGTCCGGCTTCAGACCCGGGTACGGTACTGAATCTGCCTTGGTCGCCCTGTACGATGACCTGTGCAGGGAGAAGGACAGGGGGAGTGCGTCCCTGTTGGTTCTCCTGGACCTCTCAGCGGCTTTCGATACCATCGACCATGGTATCCTTCTGGATAGGCTGGCGGGATTGGGGGTCGGAGGCACCGCTTTGCGGTGGTTCCGCTCCTATCTCAACGACCGATTCCAGAAGGTGGTGTTGGGGGACTATGGCTCTGCGCCATGGCAGCTTTGCCATGGGGTACCGCAGGGTTCCTTTTTGTCCCCTTTACTGTTCAATATCTACATGAAACTGCTGGGAGAGGTCATCAGGAGGTGTGGGCTGCGGACCCATCAGTATGCTGATGATACCCAGCTCTACCTCTCGTTTTCCACCAATCCAGGTGAGGCAGTGGCTGTACTGAACCGGTGCCTGGCCGAGGTAATGGGCTGGATGAGGGCCAATAAACTGAAGCTCAATCCAGACAAGACGGAGGTCCTGTTGGCAGTTCGGGCTTCGGAGAAGGTGACCTGAACCTTGTCCTGAATGGGGTTGCACTCCCTCCTAGGGACAAGGTCCGCAGCTTGGGAGTGCTCCTCGACCCGGAGCTTTCACTTGAAGCTCAGGTGACAACAGCGGCGAGGAGTGCTTTCCTCCAGCTTCAGCTGATTCATCAGCTGCGCCCCTACCTGGAGTACGACTGCCTTGCAACAGTGACTCATGCGCTGGTGACTTCCCGTCTTGACTTCTGTAACGCGCTCTACGTGGGGCTACCCTTGAAGACGGTCTGGATACTTCAATTGGTTCAGAATAGAGCTGCCAGGCTGCTGACGGGGACTGGACGTTATGTTCACATGACGCCAGTTCTCCGTCAGCTTCACTGGCTCCCCATTGAAGTCCGGGCCCAATTCAAGGTGTTGGTAATGACCTATAAAGCCCTAAACGGCTTGGGTCCTGGTTACCTGAAGGAGCGCTTACATCCATATTTGCCCAGTCGCCCCCTGAGATCGGCGGGAGAGGCCCTTCTCTGGGAACCCTCCGTGAGAGAAATTAGGAGGGTGGCTACTCGGAGAAGGGCTTTCTCAGCGGTGGCGCCTAAGTTATGGAATGCGCTCCCCAGAGAGGTCCGCCTGGCGCCGTCGTTATTTGTTTTTCGGCGCCAGGCTAAGACCTTTTTATTTAAGCAACATTTTAAATGCTAAATACAATTGAATTTTATCTGGCCAGGGCGGCTTATTTTATAATGTGTGTTTTAATTAAGATTATTTTATATGGATTTTAACTTATTGTTTTATCTATGTTGTAAGCCGCCCCGAGGCTTCGGCGAATGGGGCAGCATAAAAATGTTTTAATAAATAAATAAATAAATAAGGTGAGCAGGAAAACAATATATAATCAACAATTTGACAAATCAATTGGAGAACATCTGAAGAAGCAGAACGTTTTTGTCTGGCATCAAAAAAGAAATGTTGGGGCCAGGCAAATTTCCTGGGGAAGTCTATTATATAAATGAGGGGCAGCCACTGAGAAGGTCCTTCTATTTGCCATCTTCCTCATCTCCTTTTTTCCTTATAGGCAGGCAAAGGAAGAAGTAATAGCAGAAAGAAGACTAGATTGTGTTTTTTTTTTAAAGCAAAGAACACAGAAGGCTTGAAAATATAAGAAAACTTGGAGTAGGAGAAGATAGGAGCTCCTTGAAGTTTCTAATAAGGATCAGCAGTAGTAAGAGACATATAAGAGTATCTAAAAATAACAGAGTTCTGTCCTAGTAAGGGCAGGGAAAGAGCTGGAAAGTCATTTGCAGCACCAAACATAGCATTAAACTTTAGGTAAGATGATCCCTGCCTTTTCTGGATAGTGAAAGCAAATAAAACATCTTCACACCAAATGGAAAACTCAAAGAAGGTTTGCACCATTTATTACTCTATTCCTCATTACAATGCATGGATGTGATGCAGCTAACCTATGTGTCATGGTTCATTTTTATCTCTCATTAATCCAATATTAGTCTTTACCTTCTCTGGGGGTGGGTGGGACTATCTACCTGTCCATTTAAAATATAAAAATAAATGTAGTAATGTAGTAAAACTGTAGTTTACTTTCAAAAACCAGAAGAAAAGTAGTAATTAAAGGGGGGGCAACACAATGGCTAGGGAAAAAAGGACAACATATGAAGATTAGGCTGTTTGAGTAAGTTATAATAAATACTTGCATTAAAAATAACCAACTAGTAGAGCACAAATTGTTGCCAAATTAAGAAAATGATATAGAATGTGTCCCATCTTCCTGTGAAAACCAGCAGCAGGCTGTTTATGAAGTACACACAGAGCCCAAACTACCTGGCTGACTGCACTACTTGATCACTTTTCTTTCATCCTCATAAACCATGAATTAAATGGACACATGGTCTTTTATACTTACTTCTGCAAAGCTTACTGGAGAGACATCACCCAGGGTTTGGGACGAACTACCCAAACTGGAAAGTAATAAATGTGTCTTTACTGCTGCTTGTTTCTGGCAATGGAAGAGGTCTCTCCTAACCCAAATACAGAAGAGACTAGCAGGGTCCTGTAGTTCCACACGTTTCACTTCAAAAAGTATGCCTACAAAATGTGAAACAAGACAAGACTGATATCATGGTCAGAAATAAGGAAACTCTAGGAAAAAAACTCTACGAAAAAAATTAACAAATATTCTCTGCACAAGGTTTTAACAAGGATGTTAAAAACCTTCCTTGAAAATTCTTAAAACCATATTTGAGAGTGGGTAAGTCAGAGCAGTTAAGAAAAGGACAATGCAAAACCATCATTTTTTAATATCATTTGCACCCAACCTTTCCACTAAAAATGGCATTCAGGGCAGCCCAGACACAATTAAAATTGATTAAAACAATACATTAACAAGGCATGAAAACAGAACAATTACAAACCCCCTACTGGCTTTGTCCTCCTAGAACAGAGACCAACAGAATCTTAAGCAGCAACTTAATACAATTCATACACAAGGAGCCTTATTCAGACATTCTCATTACTGTGTTCAATCAACATGCAGAGAGGGAGCACTTCAGCTCCACCCCTCTGTATTCTATTGCTGCATCCAAGTAGAGTGCATTTTATTTAAATCACTAGTCAGTTTTAGACATAATTTTCTACATAAGTTGCACACATGTCTGCCTTACCCATAAATAGAGGAACTTCATTAAACTATTCCTAAACTGGGTCTCTTTTACAGCATGCTGTCATTATAGGTTTTCTCCCCCAACGGAAGAATAATATGATAAATCTCAGGCTATACAAAAAAAAACCCCCAAAGACTTCTGGAGTATTCTGTTCAAAAGATTTCATTTTCATTTTCATTGCTTACTCCTCCTTCCTCACACTTAGCTTCTTGTGCAGATCTATTCCACTACCAACAGTCTTCTTCTATTCATTGAATTTTTGAAATTTAGCACCTAAGAAGTAAGGGATTGATCTGTATACATAGAGTTGCAAATGAATAATGGGATTAAGATCTTTTTCTCAACTCTGTATGTTTATTAAATGACATTTTGCTTTGAAGAGGTATGTGATTTCAGTAGACACAAATTCAGTTTTGAGAACTGTAAAACCAAGCATCTGTGACATCTTCTAGATAGAAAAGTTGCCCAATAATCTTGCAGAAACCTCTGGAAGAGCATAACACTGTGAATGGATTAATGGAATTCCTTTTCCAAAAAACCTGAACATTGCATGAATATACAGACTCATGTTACAATAACCAGAAATGAACCCTTATTTTATGATGAATAACCCTTGGGACTATAATGTATCTTAATTTTTTTTAAACTATCTTTAGATTTTTCCTCAAAAGGCATTTTATTTTAAAAAATCCATTAAAAATTTAAAAATCTGATTTAAATTTAAAAAATCATTTTATCTTTTTTTTTTTTAAATCATTGATTTTTATCCACCCAGCATCCAGGCAATCATCTGAAGAAGGGAGCCTCCTTATCAATGGATGTTCTCCATGAAGTTAATCATGAAGGGTATCTGTCCTGCTTGTACTGTTACCATGCATGCATACAGGGCAACAGATGTGGCAACAGAGAGATGGAGCTGAGGCATTCCCTCTCATCACCTGCTGATTAAAGAAGGTAAGAAGAAAGCCTGAACATGTCTAATACCATTCTAAAGCTACTCATAATGGAGCACCACAACTTTGGCTTTCAGAATATTCTGCTGTTCATTTCATACAAGTGGTAAAGCCCTCTGATAACCAACCAGCCCATTCAGAGCATTCAAAGTTGAGCATAATGTTGCTGAATTAGTCTGACATCAATCCCTGGAAAAATTCTGGAGCAAATTTTTAAAAAAATCAGTCTGCAAGCACCTCAAAGAAAATGCAGTGATCAATAAAAGCCAACATGGATTTATCAAAAGTAAATCCTGTCAGACAAATTTAATCTCATTTTTTGACTGGATAACTTCCCCGAATGGACAGAAGGAACACTGTGGACATAATCAACCTCAAATTTAGCAAAGCCTTCACCTTCGATATAGTTCTCCATGACATCCTGACAAGCAAATTAGCAAAAAGTGGACTAGATAGAAAAACTGTTAGGTGGATGCATAATTGGCTGCTAAATTGGACACAGTGCTCATCAATGGCACCTTCTCAAACTGGAGAAAGGTAACTTAGTAAGATGCCGCAGGGTTCAGTCCTAGGCCCAATGTTCTTCATCTTTATTAATGATTTAGATGAGGAAGTACAAGGAACTGCAATCAAATTTGCAGACTGTCGTGCATGAAGCCCCCACAGGGGCAGTGACTCATGAGGAGGTCTTGTGCTTAACACCCTGTACCCAAAAGCCGACTCCACAACTCAGTCTAGGGGCAGATGAGCAAGCAGCTGCAGCTCCCTCTGACTCCCGGCCCATTGAGCAAACGCCTGAACCCTCAGCGAAGCCAGAGAGTACCGAGAAGGAAGAAGCTGCAAGTTCTACTCGGAAGGAGGCAGAGCAAACTGCTCCTTCCCCCTCTGACACTGATCTTCCTGAGCATGAAAAAGAAGACTCAGTGGGCTTGGTGGATTTCTCTTGTGCAGCCAATTGCCGAATTTTACGACGTTATGAACAGCAGCAGTCTTTGTTACATGAGAGGGAGGAAAGGCGTGACTTAGATGAGTAGACCCACGTGGGCTTGGGGAGAGAAGCCATTAGAGGGTTAGAGGGTTAACATCTGCACGCCAAGGACCTCAATTGAAGGGCTTATCTATAGAATTGTAAATCTTGTAGATAATTAGCATTAAAGGACTTTAGTTTTATTGCTCCTGAAAGTATGGATTGTTTACATGCCAGGCTGCCATGACACAGACAATGTAAAATTAGGTGGAATAGCAAACACCCTAAAAGACAAGATGAAGATCCAGGGTGGTCCTGATAAACTTGAATGCTGGGCTGAAAGCAACAGAATGAGATTCAATAGGGACAAATGCCAAGTCCTCCACCTAGGAAAAAGAAACTAAATGCATAGGAATTTATGAGGAGGAATACTTAGCTCAACAGAACTGGAGAGAAAAAAGACCTTGGAATTACTGGGGACAACAGTATTATGTCGATGCAGCCACAAAAAGGGCAAATGGTATTTTGGGATGCATTATCAGAAATATTACTTCCAAATCACAGGAAATAATAGTTCTCCTATACTCCTCACTAGGCAGCCCTCATCTGGAATACTGTGTCCAGCTCTGGGCACCAAGATTTAAGAAAGATGCAGAAAAATTAGAAAGAGTTCAGAGAAGGGCAACAAATATGATCCAAGGTTTGGAAACACTGCCCTGTGAACAGATTGAGAACTGGGTATGCTCAACTTTGAGAAGACTGAGAGGGGACATGATATCCCTCCATAAGTACCTCAAAGGCTGTCACAGAGAGGAAGGTCAAGATCTCTTCTCACTGATACCAGAGGGTAGGAAATGGAATAATCAACTCAAGTTGCAATAGCCCAGATTCAGGCTAGTTATCAAGAAAAGTTTGCTCACTGTCAGAGCAATACAACAGTGGAATCAATTGCCTAGAGAGGTTGTGAGCTTTCCCACAGAGACATAGAGAGAAACTTGAGAGTCATCTGAGTGGGATGGTGCAAACTGGTGACCTGCAACAGCACACGATTGGACCTGATAGCCTTCTTTATGCTTTCCAACTATTCTATGATGCTATAAATGAAAAGGCAAAGGTTGGTGAGGGTTTTGCCTAATCAGGGGTAGAAATCCTCATGTCCAGGGATTCAATCTCTCCTACTGGCACCCCCAGATGACCATGTCTCCTTTCCTCTAATCACTCTTCCCCTGATGTTTTCCTCAGTTTTGTACAGTTATTTTCCACATTTGAAATATCTTTGCTGCTGGCAGTAAAAGCTTTTAAATAGAAACATGCAGGGTTGGGATGGGGGTATTTTCAGCCCCACCCCATTTCCTTCAGCCCCACAACCCCCAGAGTGTGGCTCCCAAGAACTTTACCACAACTGAATTCAGTCCTCAGACTAAAAAAGGCTACCCAGCTTTAGGCATAGGGTGATGCCTTCCAAAAGCTTTCTAAGTTTCACTGCCAACCAAAGAGCAGTCTAATTTTATGTTAGTTGACACAAAATAATATTGGATGGGGCTAGTTTTGTTTTCCATTCCAGACCTTGATGGACACCAGTTTAAACTACAAGTTCATTCACAGCCTTTTATGAATACAAGGTACCCCTTGTATCTCCTGCCCGCTATGCTATCACAATGCACTCATTTTAAGCAAAAGACTTTAAAAGGATGTCCAATCAGTTAAAAGCACTAAAGTAAGGGCAATGATGACTACATTCAACTTACTCAGTTGGGAACCATCCCTGTGGTAGCAGTTTCCTGAATAGCTGCCTTCAAGAATATCACTGTTCAAAGTAGCTACTGGGGACAGCATAGCTTCTAGTTTCACAGGAGTTGACGTCACCTGTGCTGTGTTCTGCCATTTTAATGGCAGTAATTCTTCTTGGGACTGAACACTGAGGCTTGACAAATGTATTTCCAGGGGATTCTTCTGGCTTCCTGCAATACTTTCAGTCTCTGAAGCACAGCATGTACTAGACAGCAAGCTGTTCTGACAGTATATTGGAGAACCACCACTCAGCAGAAACTCAGCTTGATCATTTGCAGAAGCATTATTTTTGTGGTCCAAGGACAGGTCAAGATCTTCCTTACTTAACAAGGAAAGCTTTATTGGCCCAGAGGCAGGAGGTAAGTCTGAATTTATCTCTCCATGAATCTTCAAACTCAGATCTGTCAGGCCACAGCAAACAGACTTCACCTCATCACCCAGCTTCCTATCTTCCTCAATGGCAGAAACATGTGGTTTAAGTGATCCCACAGGAATAGGAGCTCTACTGTTACTTTCATCAGGCAGAAACAGTAATGAATTATTTGCTGCATTTTCTAGTGTAATATTTTCAAAGCTTAAGTTTTCAGCATTCGTCATCAGATTTCCATGTGGCAAGTGATCCATCGTCCTATGGGTTTCTCTGAGACTAGATGCTGTGTTGTACTTCAGCTCATCTAGTGTGGGAGTCCCAAATGATATATGCACAGCATCACAAAGCACATTAGTCTCCAGTCCTAAACCATCTTCTGATATGGGATTCTGACTGCCCAGGCTAGTATCCTTTTGTCCAAAAGATCTAGTGGCTAATTGGCATTTCACAATGTCATGCAGTGATGCTGGTTTATGTATATACAGACTGTTGTCATCAACATCTTTCTGAATTAGGTCATACGTGCTCCTGGCAGTACACCTATCTTGCAATTTAGTACTACTTTCTAACATACATGGTTCAGAATGAAACAGTTTTGGAAAATGGGCTTCATACTGCGAAGAGTTAATAGGTTTTGTAGTCTTAGTCTCTGTGCTGTCTCTGTCAAGTAGACCCTCAGAAGGCAGAACTTTATGATGGACTGGGACGTGACTGCTAGGCATATAGCCTCTGCTGTGAAAGACAAGTTACTGTTATAGTATGCAGAATAAGGAATCATCCCACCCTCGTTATTGCATTTATTTTAAACATTTCTTCATTACCCTCTATCTAGAAAATCCCAGGACAGTGTACAAATGTGTGGATAAAGCTATTCATGCAAAAATATATAGTATTTAAAAAAATGTAATGGAAAATATAACCAAGCAGAATAGAAAATTAAACTAAAAGCATGAAAACAAAAAAACCTAAGTATCACTAAAAACAAAAGAAAAAGCCCACAAGAAAGAGCATCCTTCTGGTGCTACCACCCACTGACACGATTGTACACAGCAGAAAGGTATTTTGGGTGGTACTACCTACACTATGAAACTTCCTCCCAAAAGTACCCCAGTTCCCTATTATTGACTTTTTCAGGAGAGCTATTAAAACATTTATTATAAATCTATCCTAAATTTCTGCCAAAAATGGTATTCAAGACAGCTAATACAGATTATGGTAATAAAATACAGATTAAAAAAGAACATTAAGACATAATATAAGAACAAATCCATTAAAGCACTTAGAGCTAAGATTTTAATTCTACAAACACTTTGCACCTTATTATTTTGGGAAGATGCACACTGTTTAAGATCTAATTTACTGTAAAATATTTATTTATTTATTTATTTATTTATTTATTAAAACATTTCTATGCTTATTTTAATGTATATTTTACAAACCCTGTATTTCCCACTATGAATTCTTCCTTGATGGCATGGAATGCCATGGCCACTGTAATTCCAAATGAAGGTCTCATTAGGCAATAAAAATATCAGTCCTAGCAGGATCACATTTGGAAATATCCAAGACATTTCTTTCTATGAAAATGCTTAGGACTGGAGATTTAAGGACAGTTTGTCACACCAGCATGAACAGTACATGAAGATTCACAAATTAACTCTGCTGAACTCTATTGTTCAAGTTGATAGCAGGACACAGAAGTTCTTCCTATGGAGTTTAATCTGTAACAGCCATTTCACAAGTACTATTCATTATTTGATGTTGTTGGTGGTAGATATTTAATTAATTAAAAATCCTGTTTCCAGATCTTTTATGAAACATATCAAAAAAACTAAAGCAAAGGGAGTAATTATATATTATGTGCAAATGTACTTATTAGAGGCCCAACATCATTCTTTTTCTAAGTCACAACCCCACAAGCCTACCTTTGAAACGTTTTGCAGGACAGTGAAGAACAACTTGGAGTGGAGAAACAGCATGTGGGAACCTGTATCTTAGCATAACTATACTTAAACGGTTTCCTCACCACTTTTCTTCAGAGAAGGGAAACATAGCACCAGGGCTCAAATGCATGCATTTTGCACATTATCTGAATTAGCCTTATAATGCTTTGTACTTAGCAGAAACATGTCCAGATGCTAGGGAGGGGGTAAGGTCTTTTGGCTCTAGTCATTGAGTGAAACACAACACTACTATTTTATGATCTGTCCAGTCGTGAACATCCATGGTAACAGGGTGCCTCACATAATTCAAACCTTCTACCTACCCATTCAATGGTGTAGATGCATCTAGGGCAGATGGCACAAGAGAGGATAGGTTACTCCTTGATTCCAGCTTGGTTTTCTTTTGAGTATGGCATTCTGCTCCAGAAATCTTTGTGGTAGTGAGAGACTGGCACTTTATCATTCCAGAACTGCAGATATCCAAAGAGTCATCTTCTTCCTGAACTAGGTCAAAAGTGCACAGGGAAAGATTCCTGTCTTGCAGTTTAGTCCTACCTTCTAAAACATAAGGTTCAGAACAAAACTGTTTTTGAGAATGTGCTTCATATTGCTGAGAGTCTGCAGAGTTTGTCATCTGTGTCTCAGTGCAGCTTCCATCATGCAGACTCTCAGAAAGCAGGACTTCATCAGGGACTGGGATATGGCTGCTGGGTATATAGTCTCTGTGAAAGAAAAGTTACTGGTTATGCCATGTGGAATAGAAGAGGTATGTTTCCTACCTTTTACCCCATTGGTGGCAGTTGGATACTTTTGCAACTCTCAAAATCTCTTCCCAGGCATGTAAAACCTACCCAGTTAGTGATATGGATGCTTCTGGAGGAGGTAACAGAAAAGAGGGCAAACTTCCACCACTTTCCAACTGCGTTTCCTGTCTAATACAAAGCTCTGCTCCATTATGCTTTGACAATTCCTGTTGTTTTTGCAGCTCCACAGCTCCAGTAAGTAATGGTCTGGTACCTGGATAAAAGAAAGAAAATGGCAGCGTACAATAATTCTTTCACTGAGACTTGAACTAGAAGACTCCAGGGGCTGCTTTGTGTGTTAAACATCTAATGACTACATGACTCCCCAAAGAATTTTATCTGTTAAATATATGAGATTAACAAAAAGATACAAAGTGCTTAAAATATTAAATATTTAGCAATTATGTGTAATATTTATGTGTCCATATGGTAAGTTTCAAGGCATTCCTAAAATGTCTACCAGGACTAGCTATAACCATGGATCCTGAATTCTCAGAGGACCTTGAGTAAAAAGTTGTTCAGAAAGTGACAAGTTCACCTCCTATTTCAGATTGTTTAAGTGAAACAGAAGATAAATGGTAGATTGTATGTTTTGAAAGGCAAATAGCCCATGTTTCATGGAGACATAATGTAGTAATAATGAGGAACTTCAACTTCTCTGATAGCTATTGGAAGATGAACTCTGCCAAACATAGCACCTTCAACAAATTTGGGACATATTGCTGATAAGTTTCTTCAGCAGAAAGTGGAGGAATGAACTAGAGGATCAGCTATCTCTTACTTGATTCTAACCAACAGAGATGACCTAAGTTGATAAAATGGCAGTTATGGGAACTCAGGGGGAAAGTGTCTGTGTAATACTTGAATTCTTCATTATAAAAGAAGCAAAAGCTGAGTGTAGCCAAACATACACTCTAGGTTTTAGGAAAGCCAATTTTAATAAATTCAGAACAAGGGTGAGCAAGCTCCCATGGCAAGCATAATGCACCTAATAAGAAAAGGAGTACAAGAGGGAATTTTTAAAAGGAACAATTCCAACTCTCAGAATCACTATCTATTATCTTAAAGAAATAATGGAAGATGGGTGAAGTGCTAGATACATTTAATCATATAACTGCTAGTTCCTCTTTATTCAGCACTGATTAGGTCTCATCTGGAGTATTGTACCCAGTGCTGCAAACCAAAGTTTAAGATGCAGACAAACTGGAAAAGGTTCCAAGGAGGGCACCAAAATGATCAGACTAGAAAATAATCTCTGAGGACAGACTGAAAGAATCATGCATGTTTAGCCTTGAGAAGAGAAGACTAAGGGAAGGTATGATAGTACTCTTCAAGTACTTGAAATGCTGTCAGTCAGAGGAAGATTGAGATCTCTTCCCAATCATCCCAGAGCACAGGACACAGAATAATGGGCTCAAGCTGCAGGGGGCCTGGACCAGATGACCTTATTGGCCCCTTCCAACTCCACTGTTCTAAGATTCTATGACTTCAGTTTAGCACCATCTATCATATGCAAAGCTTTTTCCGGCAATGTAAGCATTTCAAGATGGTAGCTTTTCATTTTAACAAGTGGGCATCCCAAAGAAAACCGAAAATACAAACCAAAGTTTCTATCAGAAGAGAGGAAGTGTCAAAATAGCATTTCTATTGTAAAATCTAATGCAGTTTACAGTATTTTGTTTGCTGCTGTTGTTGAATACAGAGCTTGTATTTGGTTCCCTTCCTCCCCTACAATTTACCTTCATTATTTCCCACTGTACCACAGCCATCCACCTGGGTTCCTTTAAAGACACCGGAGATCACATTTTCTTCAGCTACGTTATAACTTCCTCTAGACTGTGGAAGTTCTACGGAGGAGGCATTAATTCTATCCATGTACTTGTAAAAGCCAGGAATCAGGAATGTGATGTTCTAGAATCCAGAATGAAACGTGGTAAAATCAATATTCTCTGCTTCCCTGTATAATGATCAATACAAATATAATGTAGGGCTGAATATAAAGGACATATCAAAGAGTAACCATTATTCTATATTCAGATAACCACTGCTGTAAAAGACTATGTTTTTCCCATTATCTGAGAGCAGACATGTCAAATATTTCAGACAATCCAAGATATACCATTGCCTAGGCCAGATGCCCAAGAAGGGCAAAACCTCTGCCCAAGAAGGCCTTGTTCCCTTTCTCCTATCACCAAGCTTTGGATAGTTTTGCCCCCATTCTCTAAGGCTGAAATGCCTCTACTAAGGCTTACTTACTGGCAGTTAAGACCTTTAAGATACAATATATTTTGGGGTATTATCCTTTTTGCCTTTGACATGACTCACCACTGAACTGGCCAAGAGTTTTCTGAAATGGAGTTTGTCCCTTCAAAGCAGTTCTGCACAACTCCAGTTTATATCCCTGTCCATCTGTTAATTAGTTGTTCTAACTACTTCACTCTTAGCAATGAAGTGGATATTATTCCTAAGTCTACCAAAAGGGTAGCACTTCATAACCTCACATGAATAAGGAAAAAGGAAGAAATTAAAGCATTACCTTCCCTAGAAGTTCCTTTTTCTCATAGCCAAACAGCATTAGAGTAAATGTGTTGTTGACTCCATAAATTGTACCATCTGCCTGAATGGTTATCAGCCCGCTGATGGTGGTAAAGACCCAGATGGTAGCACAGAAAGAACCAGCTATGGGTAAGGATGTTGCGCCATCTTCCAAAATTTCAGCATCATGTACTGGCACAGAGTTATCTAGTGTTGGGATAACTTCCTCAGCAGAAAAGTTCACTTTCAGCTTCAGGCTGAGAGGGAATGTTGTTCCTTCCCTTGCCCGGCCAACAGATCTCTGAATTCTGATATTCTGAAGTAAAAATATTACATGTTAATAGTTACATGGCAAGCCTTGACAAACAGTGTTCACTAACAATGGCCAGGAAATCAACAAATAACATTTGTTTGTTACATTTATCTCATTCAAGGGATGTATATTTTATACATGATCCTCTTCTTCTCCAGTATATCCTCACAACAATCCTATGAGGTGAGCTGACCATGACTGGCATGGATATCATGACCAGTGAGGACCAGGACCTTGGTCTCACCAGTCGGAGAGCAGCACTCCAACCACTATACCACGTCAGTTCTGGTCACTGGGTGGTTTCAAATTACTATCACAAAGTTTGTAGTTATAAACAAGAATCTTCTAGTACTCAAACAATTTTTAAGAAAGGAGGTTAAATTTATAGGATTCTACCTTTGGGATTTTTTTGCCAGGTGCAGGGATTTGAATAGAAGGAATCAGATCTGTTATATAGTGACCAACCACATCTTCTGGTGATGAGTAGCCATGGACATGAGCAAAAAGGGCATCACAGGAAATAATCTCTCCCTTAAAATAAGCGTTCCATAAAATCAGGTTATGTTTCAATTGCAAGGTACTTCATTCCAAAACATCAGTTTCTGGCAGTATTAAAGGAGAATAAAATATACACATAGAAGCAATTATACCGCTGAGGTATAAATAATTGTCACTATAAGATGCATGATAAATTTCTATATGGTTTCCTTCTTCCCCAAATTCTAATTCTCATACAATTATTGTATTTAAAGTATTTATGACACCTTACAACAAAGGACACAATGAACTTTTTAAAGTTTCTAAAAACTTTGTCATTCATTTTCATGAGGTCCAGGCAAAGCTTTGCAATGCCTTTAGGTGAACAAAAATTCCACAGATATCAAATTACAGCAACAAGACAGCAACTCTCTGCCAACCATACACTTATACCTTTGCTAACCATAATTAGGGGGTTGGACCCAATGACCTCCTGGCTCCTTCCCAGTCTATTATTCTATAATTCTATGGCTGTAAAATAATTTATTTAAACAACTCAATTTCCCATGTTGTTCTAAGCTAAATGTTATGCAAGGGAAACATTCATTTTTAAAAATCACTAGAGAAAAACAAAATGCATTTTCTTTTTTGACATGATTGACTGGCATTGTTACTTCATATTTGAGTTGAGAACCAAAATTGTTTAAACAAGTCCTAATACACATGTAGATACAGTTGCTAATTAGTTGAAATTACACCATCCTTTTAGATTTACTCACATTGCTTTTGAAGAAAACAGAGGCAGAGAGTCTTTCCACAGGCTCCAGAACCACAACACAGTAATGATTGCAATGGTTTTTAATTCTTCTCATCCATACAGAGACTGGGATTATTTCTTTGCTATGCGAAATAACATCTACCTATCGATAAAATACATGTCTTCATTTCTAACCAGCAAAGCTTAGAAACTGATCAGTCTAGCAACTGAATGTGTTGCTAGTTTCAATATAACCCATTACATCTTTATTTGTGGAACTTTGTAGCATGAGAAATCAGCACATTCTTTAAGAATATACATTCAGATATTTCATTAGTGGTTCTTATGTTTACTATGCATCAATTACTTCAGCAAGTTTTGCCAAAATATGTAACTCTTCAGCTGTCACCATTACAATCACAATCAAGTGGAATCATTTCAGGACTATCCGATGACTATCCGATGAGTTACATGATATTCTATTTATGTGCCATGAACTCAAAGACTCATGGCTGATTCTCAGAAATATTATGTAAAGAAGATGAAACTAGCATAATAACAGCCTTGCATTTTACATAGCACTAAGTGTTCACCTTAAAATAAAGAACCTCCTAGAAATCAAATTCCCACCCACTGAAATTAATTTGTGAAGGGGGTATAGACAGGAAGGGGGGAGTCTTACAATTAAGTAAATCATGCAAATTTTAAACAGCAGACTGGATGCAAGATGTTAGAAATCCTCTAAGACTACAATCTTCTGCACACTTTTAAAGTGAAGTCCCAGTGAATTCCCTGAATATTTTCAGTTTCAGTTACTGCAGTCCAAGGATGTGGACAAGGTGCTTGACTGTTTGTCCCACCACTTGTTCACTTGGTCCTTGCCCATCATGGATCACTGAAAGATCTAGAGGGAGTTGGCTCCCAGGTCCAGGAGGCTATTAATGCCTCTTTGAGAGAAGTGATAGTACCAACCTCCTTAAAGGAGGCTGTGATTAGACCTCTCTTTAAAAAGCCAAGCTTAGATCCAGGGATAATTGGCAACTACGGACCAGTAGCAAAGCTTCTCTTTTTGAGCAAGGTATTGAAGCAAGTGATTGTCAGACAGCTCAAGGCACTCTTGGAAGAAGTGGATTATCTAGACCAGTGATGGTGAACCTTTTAGAGACTGAATGCCCAAACTGCAACCCAAAACCCACTTATTTATCACAAAGTGCCAACACTACAATAAAACCTGAAAACTGAGGTTTTAGTTTAGAAAAAACAACTCACAGCCAGTCCAAGCAAATTATAAATCCTTGGCAACACACTGACCAGCCATGTGAAAGCTTGGACGAGTCACAGCTAATGAGTGGCGGCTCATGATGTCCTCACCTGGTGCCACTACTCCTTTCCAAGCATGCGCATGGCCCCTATGTGTGCTGTTATCTGATGCTCAGCTGCTGGGGTGACTTGGCTCTTGTATTGACAGAGGGCTCTGCGTTCCCACTGTGGCACACGTGCCATAGGTTCACTACCACTGATCTAGACCCATTTCAATTGGCTTTCAGGACAGGGTTCGGGGCAGAGACTGCCTTGATTCTCCTATACAGTGTCCTCTGTTGGGAGAGGAACAGCCAGTGCAATCATGCTGATTCTTCTAGATTTCTCAGCAGCTTTTAACACCATTGATCATGGTGTCCTTCTGGATAGGATGGCCAGCATGGGAGTCGAGGGCACTGCTTTGCAATGGTTCTGTTCTTATCTGGCTGACTGTGTCCAGAAGGTGGTGATGGAGTATAGCTGCTCTGCTCCATGGAAATTACACCATATGGTTCCACTAGGCTCTATACTATTCCCCCATGCTGTTCAACATCTACATGAAACTGCTGGGAGAGGTCATCTTGAGATTTGGGCTGAGGTATCAGCAGCTCAGCTCTACCTCTCATTTATATCAAATCCAGGTGAGACAATCTCCACTCTGAACCAGTGACTGAGTTCAATAATGGACAGGATGAGGGCTAATAAAATGAAAATCAATCCAAGCAAGATGAGAGTGCTGTTGGTTGATAATCTGCCTGAAAGATTAGATTGCCACTGTCCTGTCCTGAATAGGGTCACACCTCCACCTTTGGAATGGAATTCCTAAAGAGGTCTGCCCGGCCCTGTCACTACTTTCATTTTGACGCCAGGCAAAAACTGTCCCCTTTGAAAGGTACTTCGAAACCTGTTTTTAATACCTGATTATAAGAGCTCACTCCACTACCAACAGGTTCCCTGCCCCACTTCTCCCTGTACTAGTAATTGTACTGTTGGCCTATTTTTAATGTTCTTAACCACTTAGCCTATAGAGAGCTATTCAGCAGCCTATTAATTTGAAATACATAGAATAAATAAATAACCATGTATGGGATTTGACTGCAAAGTTTTAGGTCCAACAGCTGATATAATACAGAAGAGATATTTTTTCCAAACTGACAATAAGTCTTCCTTCATGTGCATACTGAACTCAAAGAAACTGTGGATAACCCTTAAGGCAAAACAAGCAATATCCACATACTTTCACTTAAAGCTTAGTGACAAAGCCATAGGAGAAATATTTCTACCTTTTAAAATAGGGGTGAACACATAACCACAAGGAGAAAGCATTAAACAATCAGCAGTCAAGGGAATTTTCTCAGAGAAGGAGCTACATCCATCTAGGGAACCCCAGAGAGCTGGCTTAGAACACTAGATGTACTAGATTGGGCCCATGAGCTTCTGCATCCCTAATCCAGTTAAACAGCTAGATCCTGCTATGAACAGCCTCAAGAGGATGCTCCATTCAACTGTGAGTCTACCAATGACTGGGGGATGGTGGAGGAGAGGAAGGCCTGGAGGAGTGTTGCCATGGGGTCACGAATGGTCGGACACGACTTCGCAACTAGCAACAACAACAACCAATTACTAATACACATTGGTGTTAATACTGCAGTTACTGTATGAATTAAGAAACAGCACTCCAAATTCACATAGATGCATGTACTAACTTATTCTACCACACACAGAAATGTTCAGCAAAGTAAATGAATCATCCACATACCAAATATGCAAATGTGCAAGAACATAAGCATTTTCCTTCTGCAATTACAATTTTAGATTTGAAAATCAAGTGAATTTTAAAATACTTCATTAAATTTGAGCAAAAACAGCCTTACATTGACACAAATTCCTCTCAGTGCCTATTCAGTTCTTTTGTAGCTATTTAACACATGGGAAAACACCAGTGTAACACAAAACATTTATACTGAAATGACATTACAAAGATTTATGCTAAAGAACAATTATACCATATTTCACACACCACTGTTCCAGGAACTACTGCTCCATGTTCTTCAGCATCAACATATTCTTCCTTTAGTGCTTCCATAATATCCCAATTTGATTTTGATATCATCTGAGATAATTTCTGGCCAATCAATTCCTGAGTAGTATAACCCAGAAGCTTACAGGCTTTGTCATTGGCAACTAGAATCTAAAGAAAAAGAAGGGAGGTTAATGGAATTTCTCTTCTACTGAACCAGATATTAGTTTCTTTTAAAAATATATGCTAATGAGTCATTATGATGCAGAGTTTGGCCCTTAGTTGAATAGGATGTCCTTAAGTTTCACTAGATTGTTCTCAACAGCCACAAACTGGGTTAAAGTTTAGTAACAGCTGCTTTATGATTTATCTTCTGAAAATGATACTGTTTTGTTTGAAGTATTCTCTGCTTTACTCAAACAATTTATTTTATAAAGCTACAGAATTTGTCTTGTAGGATTCTTACAAAGTTACTATTTCATTAACACAGCTTTAGGTTTGTTTACAAACATGCCATGAGTAAATACTTGATGCTAAAATGCTAACAAGCAAATAACCAGCAAGCAACAATATTATGGGTTCTCAAACTAGGCAGTAACGTTTACTTAGCAATTACTTAATTGGTTCTTAACAATAAACGTAGTATATCAAGTACAGTTATTACCAAACTACATCCAACCTAATTTTGGCCTTCACTTTTCAGACACTGCCAGCTGCAGCTGCACTCAGTGAAAAAGCATCAACCACACACAACAATGTAATAGCAGAGAAAAAAAAATAATCCATGTGAATTCTATTCCATTTTGAAAAGGGGCTTGGATAAGTCCTCCTTTCCGAAATTAAAAATGCATATAAACAGCCCAGTAATATTCTGAAACCATACTTCTCCACTGAGATCTGTTTGCTCTTTCATTCCATGTTTTTAGCATTCATGAACTAGCATAGGAAAGTGATGCTTGAAGCACCTTGTAAGATACGTATATAGCAGGCTCTGTGATATTTATAGAGAAGCCTTTGTGGAGTGAGGAAACAATCTGCTTTCTACATCTGAACAATGAAATTGTCTTAAATTAGTAAGAATGTAAAACTGTCTTTGGTTTTATTTAGTGCAAGTGAATTATTGCAATATATTGTGAAACTACAACAAACTTTTACATTTAGTGGACCTTTACATAAACACAATTGACATGCTATGGAACTGTAATTCACACTGCACAAAAGCTAGTTAGTACCTCAGTTGTTCTGGCATCCACAGTGAAAATGGCTTTGTTTGGGTTTCGCACAGCAATTGACAGGGCCTGAGCAGATTCTCCTAAGGCCAAGGCATTTAAGAGAGAACAAGAGGAGGAGTTGCATATTGAACAAGAAAGGGAAGCAGGTTCCAAATGAGTCCAAGAGCTATACAGTTTCCTTGTACAGATGTTCCGAGCAGCCAATGAAGCTAAACAATAGGCATTCCATCCATTTTCTAGGAAGAAAGAAGAAAATTAAAAATTTAAACATCTGAACTTTGAATATCCGAAAGGAATTTCAGGACAAATAAAAATAACACCATCAGGTCCCAAAATGTTAATAAAACTACAGTGAAGGGTCTCAGCACTGTTGATCAGGCATGTCCTAAGTAGAAAGTAAATTATTGCCTACATAAAGGAACAGAATTTAAAAGACTGAACTCAGTCTCTTGGCAGTACTGCTTTAAAAAAAAAAACAGGCCATCTATAGACAGTATCAACCTTTATATAGAGATTTCAAAAGAAGAAAAAGTAACAGGTAGAAACAGCAGAATATCACAAATCAACTTAGCAAGGGGCAGCATCTTACAATGACAATTTGAGTAGACACATCCGTAATTCATAATCCATCCATAATAAAGATGGAGGAGGAGGAGATGTAAGCTGCCTTGAGCCCTTTGTAGGAAAAAGGCAGGATATAAATTGGAAAAAAAAATTCAAAGTCAATTATGATCTGCTCCTGCCCAATTTTCCAATAAACAAGCACTTTAGTTCTCATTCTTCTAGTGTCTTCTTTTGCAGCAGCTTTTTCATAAATACTTTCATTCAACTGCACTACAAGCTGGAAAAGTTGAAAGTAACTCCTCTCTCTTGGATGAACAAGCACATACATTGTACTATTCCAACTAATCACCTGACAAAGAAGTTTTCTTCTTACAGAGCCTTGAAAGGCCACTCTTCCTTTTCTTGTTGGCCAAGGGAAAGGACTTGCTCAACTCTTCACATACCCCTGGAAATGTGAGAGTTAATGAAGAGCCCACAAGGACCTCTTTGGAGGATGCATACTCTTTGGTTACCATGGTTGTGCCTGAAGTAGAGTAGTTTTTCCTAGAAAATGCAGCCTCTGTAATGGAAAAAGAAGTATGTCAGATCTAAGACAGAGTATGTCATTCACTTTGGCTTAATTGGACTTGAAGGGTACTTCATGATGTATTGTGAAATTGTGCTGCCTCATTCACAGAATGTCATGGGGGGTGTCCATTCAATGCTGGCTTCCATTTGTAACACTCCTGTATTATCTCACTGCTTCTTTTACTGTAAAGCCTGTTGAAGACAATAATGGCACCATGTATTTTGCTTGACAATCTAGGGAGTAGTTTGTCTGCAAGTGTTGAGAATTCCACCAAAGAGAGAGGTGGGAAGAAAGGGCAACCCCATTCAGCATAGCACAGTACCTCTTTTTTTTCCTTAGGGCATCAACCATTGGTGCCCTTGTCTTCCTCCCATTGTGTGATGCTTACCTTGGGCCTAGCCTACCCAAAATCATTAAAAACTTGTATTTGTTCATTTTTTTAAAAGCAGGAAGTTGGGGAGGAACTGGATAACAAACCGAAATGGGAAAACTCTGTAGGACAAGGATAACAAGGAGTGTGACAAGAAGAAAAGGCCACTGAAACTAAAATGGGCAGGAAGTCAGCAAAAGTGCAAACATTATTACTATTATCATTAAAGAAAATGGATAGAAGATACGCATTCCGGCAAAAAGTTGCCAAACCTCAACCAAGAGCCATTGGTTTCACAACTGTTGCCATGCTTGCTGTTTCCCTAAGAATGAGCAAGCTAGGCCGGGACCTTAACGAGTAATGACAAAGGAGAGAAGCGGAGGGCTGGTACCGGGAAAAAGTGGTTAACGCCGTGACTACGATCTATTCATGCCCGAATCTGCCCAGGAAGGCAATTTACACACCGATGCTGTTTAACAAAACCGACGCAAGCACTCCACAATAGCTGGACAATCTCCCGCTGCTACTTAAGCCAACCCATCCCACCGTTTTGGGTGCAGGGACTAATTTTTAACAATACCGCCCCCCCCCCCCCCCCCCGAGTCTGTGAAAACAGAGGCAAACTTTTGGCTATCCCGCTGTGAGGCGCACATGCTCAGGGCCACCCTTTCTATTTTACGCTAAGTACCGGAGCTGGTCCCTGGTGCTGTGGAACATAGGCTCTGAGGCTGAGCCATCGTGCTTTCCTTCCGCTCCCCCGAACGTGTCTCCTGCTTCTGTGAGACCCTAACACCAACTATCCACTCACCCCCAGCTCGACCCAAGAAACAGAGAACAGCATTCGTAGTTGCGCCGGCAGCCAAACAGACGCATGGAACTTGTAACCGACAATTTGGCGAGCCAACCAATTTGGAGGGGCGGAGCTCGCCAACGCTCGAGGACCCAAAAGAAAAAAATTCCCGCGCAAACAGTTGCTAGGGACGCGCCAGACCCGATAGATAACATAGGAAGATGGAGGTGGAGCGTTCCATGACCGTTACTATTGTGCAGAACTCTTTCTCTTTTCAGTACTGACGCTCCACACGCTTGCGGTACTTCTCGCTGTTTTTAAAATCTTTCTTATGTAAAGACATAACCAGACCTTAGCATTTTCTGAAAATATCATTTTGATAGAGGAATTTTTGGTTTCTTTGTTAACAAGTAATGAGTAAACATGGATGGAAGGGAAAATCACAACATAAATATACATCATGAAATAAATACGCTTAGACATTGGGCACTATCTGGGCATCGATATCATAAGTTTACTTCTTCATCCAAGTCATCGCCTTCGGATTGTCCTATAAGCTTGCGGATGTACGTTTGTTTGTTCAGTCGCCAAAACTGATAATATGCTGCAGTATTTCATGTAAGTCATTGCCCCACATAGGATTGCGATGCAAATTTCCAGTCCCCACCCCAGTATTACGGTTGTAGATGTCTGAGGTCAGCTTTCCTCAGTTTACTGCCCTTCAGATGTGTTGGATTTCAACTGCCATCATCCTCAGACAGTATGGCCATGCTGAGTGGAGCTGATGGGAGTTAAGGCTCAACACATCTGAAGGGCAAAGGTTGTTGAAAGCTGCCGTAAGAATGCAAGGTTATACTCCGCTTTTCCAGTCATTTCTAAGTATACATGCATAGAAGTGCACGGTGAAGTATGTCAAGCGTTCAGTTTGGTTCTTACCCTCACCCTCATTAAAGTGCGATGGTGTACTTTCTTTCTCAGCCATTTTATCCCCTCCTTTTATGCAATGCACAGTTGTGAATATCCAGTCCTTGCTCCCTTTTTCATACCGACAAATGAAAACAAATGGACAGATACCGCTCTCATTGCTTTCTATGTGTGTATATGCTAATAGCTCCTACCTTCCATTTTCCTAATTTTCCCTTCTCATCTCAGTTATTTTTCCTACATAATGTCTAGCAAAGATATGTTAATTAGAATTGAAGGCTTTTGAAATACAGTAGCTTGTTTAAAAAATACACACACAAATACGTGCACATGCTCATGAATGCACACACAATACTAATTATAAATATGTGGTGCTTTTGAAAAATAAAAGCATTTTGCTCTTAATAAATTCACCCCTAGTGAAATTCTCTTGTCTATGCAAGGCTAACAAGTACAGGGCCCCTCTTATTTAAGAACTGGGTTTAGAAACACTAAGGAAATGGCTGTTGTCTTAACATAATCCTTTGGAAGCCTCCTTGAGAACTTCTTGTAAAGCAGGGCATAAATAAGGGTGCAATCTTAGGCATGTTTAAACAGAAAAAGACCTATAACTCTCATTATCTCTCAATTAATACATTTGCAAATGAAGGCATGGATGCACTCCGATATGAAAGCAAGCTGAGTTAATGTCCTTTTCAATGCCTTAATAATCATATTAATGACAGAAAACAATATTCTGGAGAGGGAATTGATTTGACAACTATTCTCAAATTGTCCATTAAACGTGCTGTTATGTTCAGCCACTTCTCATCTAATCGTTTTTGCAGTTTGAATCAGAACTAGTATAACTTCATTGCAACTGTATCTGCAATCTTTCTCAGCAAACATTATCAATTGAATTAATGAGACTGACTGCATTACCAATATTTTTGTTGCAAAAATGTATGTAGGTAATGTTTTCTTTAAATTTTCACCATCATCTGTGGGAAATATCAGTTCTTTTATGTAGCCTAGAGCTACATTCTGTTTGACTGTAACATGCTTCCTACATTTTGATATAATGCACATTCTATTGCAATTCAAATTTTGTGCTGCTCATGTTACAGTTCAAAACCCATTTGTCTGTGAGTAAATCCCATGAAATTTAATGGGACTCACTTCTGAATAATAATTTTATAGGACTGTGCTACTAGTTTTTCTTTAATAAAAAAATGTAGGTTAACTTACTTTGACCAGCCATCTCACAGCATAAAAAATACTGATGTGTTATTCTTGGTTTGCAAGATTTTTAAGAAGGCCACAGTGAACGGGAACAAAACTTTTCTTTGATTGTAGAGCAGCACAAATCCTCATTTGGTTCTTGTCATAGGATACACAATGAGAATTCTATAGGAGCAGATAGTTTCTCACTGTCATTCCCCAGAGTGGATTGACTGACCAGTGTAAATCATTTTAGGGTGATGAAAGCTGGTAGGGCTGTAAACATCAGTACAATTGTGCTTTTAAGTGTCTATGGTGTCATTGCCTTGTTTGTTTTTTAAGATGAAGGGTCACATCTCACTGGCAGAGTGTATGTTTTACATCCAAAGTTTCTGGGTTCTATCCCTGGCATTTCCAACTAGGGCTGTAGAAGAGTCCTGTCTGAAAATCTACAGAGCTACTACCAGCCACAGTAGACAATAATAAGCATTTGGTTTGATTTTCTGCATCGAACCATTTCCCTGTTCTTGCACACCTCAAAAGGAAAAATATAATCTCAACAGGAATTTTAAAAAAGCTATAGAAATGTATATCTTCATTATAAAGAATACAAAAGTTAGCTTAGTCCAAGAGACCAAAGCCCATATCAACATCAGATTTTCCTGACTCTTCTTTCTTCTTCTCAGCTAGAGTGGCATCACCAGCTGGTACCCCTCTACCAGCCAGGACTGAAGCAGCTAGAGTACCACTACCTATCTTATACATGAATATTTTCAATGTCAGTGTTGGCTAAAGTCTTTACAAACTGACCAGGCCAGAAAGGTTCAACATGAACCCCACTGCTTTGATAAGGGCATTGATGTTGTCCTCGTGGCACTGTCTTTGTTGTTGTGAAGGATGAGGGCAGAGTAGATGCAAGCAAGCTCAGAGAGGAAGGCCATACCAGGGTGATGTGCAGTACTACTTGCTGGCTAGAATGGGCCTTAGCTTCAGCTGAAGGATCCAACATCTTGTGAGCCACTGAGGAAAAGGGAAAAGGAGCACATCCTAGACAGTACTAATATTTAAATACTAAATTCTGCCACACTTTAAAAAATTACTGACTAAAAAACTTTATTTTAAACATATGTCAGTGTTCACAAATAGATTCCTTGTCCTCAGAATCCACAGAAACAGCACAGTGCATATCCATATATATGATACAGAAGAATTTAACTTTAAAACAAAACAAGTTCCCATTGTTATAACACTGTATTGGAATTTGTGCATTTTCTAATATGGGTTCTTATTTAAAACTGACTGTAAAACTCATATATACAATCCATTAAAATTGGAGCTTCAGAACTTTTAGGATTTTTATCATATAACATCCCAACCAACAGTCCTCCTTTTAGTAGGAGACAGCTTAATCATGCAGCCAGATTAAACAGGTACCTAGAATGCCATTTCTACTTCTAATATGAGAGGCGTGATTCCAAATGTACCTATCATATTAGAAGTAACATACAACCCTTAGTTCCTCTGCTACATATTTCTTAGCCAAATGAACTGCTCCAGAAATGCCTGTGACATCAGAATCCTTGCCCTATATAACAGGTGGCAAAACATCTTCAAACAGCCCTGCTCATAAAACAACATCAAATGCATTTTTAAGATTACATAATGGTGACTTTTCATCAGCAACAGCACAATGGCATACTTATCTACTGAGAAGTAAATCCCATTTAATTCCATTAGACTTATTTCTAGATATGTATGGGATTGTGGCATATAGTGGGTATATACTGTAACAATGCAACACTTGAGTACTGTTCTACATCTGAAAATCAATTCCCATTCAATTGAATGTATGCTATTAATAATGCAAGTAAGAAACCCAATATGATCATATTTGTGGTATAAGTAAAACACTGTATCTCTCATTCAAATATTTCTATGATATTAGAATCTATATGAACACCGTATCTACTGTAGCAAAAGGGACTAATTTGCCATCTTTGAACAACCCAAATTTCTAATTTATCACTAAGGAATGATTAACATGTTCCTTACAAGCATTTTAGTCTTCTGGTTTCAATAAAACACAACAAATAGGTTGTATAATAGAGGTTTATTAAAGTTATGCATGGTATTGAGAAAGTTGAGAGTTTTGCATTCTCTCTTACATCATTAAAGCTAAGGGTCATTAAAAGAAGACAGAACTTTACACACTTTAATTTATGAAATTTACTGCAAGAAGTGATGATAGCATGTGGATGATCTATTAACAGACATAAAGAATCTCCATATTCAGTTGCAGTATGCCACTAAATACCAGTTGCAGGAACAGGGGTTGGGCACAGAGAAGAGTTATTCCCTTCGTGTCTTTTGTGGATTTCTGAGACGTTAATGTTGGCAACAAAATTCTGATCTAAGAGTGCGATTCTAGGCATGTTTATTTAGAAAACATCCTGTAACTTCCAGTATTTCCTAGCCTAGTAGGACTTAAAAAAAATCTCGCATAGAATTAGCCCTTAAATGGATCTTAGATCTGATCCACGGGACTCTTATACCTCTTTGTTTACAATTATATCGATTTTACATATATATAGCAAACGTCTTTTAAAGAGGGAAGGAAAACCCACATAAAACATTGTAGTGAGTAACTGAAGAAAACCACAGAGGCCAGGCACCAGAACCACAGTATTTGGACCAGAAAGAGAAAGCGACATCTTTCCTCCAAAGCAGTCCGGGGATGGGTAAATCCCATTAAAGATATAAACTGACTCTCCTTCTTTCCACCCTGTATAATTCCAATTTTCTGCACCTATATTTGCTCACATGTCTCATCCTGGAT